AATCTTCCTGAAAAAATAGAGTCCTAATGCTCTTACTCTCAGTGCAGATTTGGTCACTGATGACCCATTGAGCCCAGCTGGTTACTGGTGGGTCAACTGGATCGCGATGTTTCGGCAAACTGGAAGACAACAAACAAACGGTGGAGAGAGTAATGTTTGGCTGACAGGCCTGAGGCAATGAGCAATGCAAGGCCTGAGCCACTATGATCAGAGAGCAGATGATAAGCCTATAAATAGAAGCATGCAGCAAGGGGGGGGGGGGGGGTTTTTCCTTTCATATGATGTAAATAGTGGTTGAATTTCTGTACTGTAGTGAGCACTTTGGAAAATGACCAATTATTATTACATTTACACCCATTAAATCAAAGGTTGCCAAACACGTTTGGCACATTTCACCAAGAGGGTTTCTGGGATGACAATAATTTACTGCAATATTTTTGTGTCATGCGTACCATGAAAATAGATTACAGACAATTAATATTAGATTAAACCATTTTTTCTGGGTTTGCAGCCAAACTTTGCAGATCTCCATGACACTGTTTGACTGGTTTAGGTTGTCATTTTAAAAAATATTTCATCTATGATACAGGTTTAAATCCAAAGTTCAAGTAGATTAACAAGCATTTTATACAAGTTATTTTGTAAGCCTCCTACATTTTGATAGAATAGAAGATCTGAGTTTTCCCTCTGTGTCTGCTTGATCAGCATTCATTAACCATACTAACCCATTTTTAAAAAGGATTCTTGGCCTAACTTGCAGCTGTAACTGCAATGATTGTCAAACCATGTCACAACATAAATGCAAAAAATACAGCAGCAAAATGCCACAATTTTCTACTGAAGTCCACGAGAGTAAGAGAGGAAACAGAACCGTGCGGCGTGAATACATGAGAACATGCACAAGTTGATGAATGCTTGCTTACATAAAAGATCCTTGCAGGGTCAAGGTCAAGTTTCTTGCAGGCCTTTGCTTGATTGCATTGACCTGCAGTGAGGTCAAACAAATGTTCACACAATAAAACCTAATAAGACAAACACCCCATGTGACTCCATAAACCTGTGGCCTCCTGCAATCAGAAATGAGCTGCATGTACAGAGTTCAGTGGCACAGTGCATTGACATCACTGCATATGTCAGCCCATGATAAGAAGTTGCATAACTTCTCTATAATTACCAGAGGAATAGTCATGAGGCGTGCTCTAACACACCATCAGACTTGATCAGAGAATATGCATTAATGTTGTGACACAGTTGCACTGTGACTGGGTTGTATTCTCACTATGACTGTACACCAGCTGCACAGTTTCAAACGAGGATGTAGCGAGGCTAATTTTGTCTCGTTTACTGTGTCTTCACATCGGCATGAAGAACGTACATGCGGGCAGGACGGAAAACGCTATCCTCCTGTGAAAAGCTATCAAACCGCCTCATAAATAAATCATTGTATTCTATCAAAGCTTAAGGAGTGACACAAAAAAAGCAAATATCGCCCCTGTTCTGATCTGTATTTAGTGAATTAAAATTGCATGGGAGGAGAGATCACTAATCATCTCACTGGCAAGCAGCCTTGCTTCATAAGTAGGTAATAAAAGGACAAACAAAGGATAATCAACATAACATAGAACCCATCCACATCATCATGGGCTTTACACCTGTCTGCATCATGGCAACAATGAATTTGTAATGAAATATGTATTGCAAATGTTACAGTAAATAGGAGTTACACACTGAAATTAAGTCATGCACAACAACAACAGGCTAAACACAGGAAATAAAAACTCTTGACATACATAAATTCATACAGTTTCATTTGCAGCTGAATGTGGTTTCTGCATGGCTTCAGCTTGGTCAACCAAATATAATCACAATTTTTTATAAATGCCAATTGTTTTTTTTACTTGACGCAAAAAATAAATACACTTAGCTGCCAGTTTATTTTGTTTTGTTGAAACTTTTGAGGAACCTTTTATAGCCTTTTGCGAAGCTGCAGTTTGTGGTATTGATGAATTATGTTGTGTTGAGAGTGAGAGGTATTTCTTATATTTTGTCCACCCAATTTATATTGATGAGAGTAAATACTGAAAAAACATCTCTCAGTTTCATGCATTAATATTAACTAGGTATAAATAAACAGGCAGCTGTGTATATTCAAACAATGTACAGTATTCAGTCTTTTCATAATATGTTATACAAATGGATATAGTAGATTTCAGCACCACTGGTACCCTTCTAACTGTGTTTGGCTGCTAGTGTCACACACAGCTTTACACATTTTACATCATTTTTAAATTCCAGCTTGTTCATAATTACAAAACTGACAGTAACAAACTTGCAAATGTATGATAAATTGTCGGTACAAGCCCCATTAGGATCCTGTGTGGCACTTTTTTTTAAACTACAACAAAAATATTGTTTCTGGCTCTGATCATCAGGGCCTTTTCCTCATCATTCACTTTAAAGGTATTATATATAAAAATAAGAAGCAATTCACATGTATTAATCACATTTTTATTGCATATGTGTGAACAGATTGCAACATAACTTAGAAAATGAGACTTTCTTGGTTGCCTATAACAGCCAGTTGACTGATTTCTATGTAAAAGACTTGGGACCAATTTTTTTTGGGAAAATACAGAGGATGTGACGTTTATGCTCACTCACAGATGCCTTGCCTCAGTTCCTTTCTTCCCTGTCAAGAGTGTGCAACACTTGCTAGCATTTGCTTAAAAATGTTGTCCGCTGACATCAACAAAACACTGGCTCCCAGCACAACGCAGACCCTCACACAAGCTCCACATAAGCAAAAAAAACATCAGCTGATAACAATATTAAATTTTATAATTCCTAATTCGAAAAAACATGAAGTTACTCAAACCATAGTCTCGCAGAGCCAGACTTATGACCACGCTTCATTTTAGTGCTGTGCCAGTGCTGCACAGAAGAGTATGGTCTAAAATATAGTTTATAGTCAAACTATAATAAGAATGTAACTGTAGTTATCTCATCTATCAGCAGGATGCCAATCACGTTTAGTCTCATGTTGTCGGACTGGCCATCCAGACTACTGGGACAAATCCTGGAGGGCACCAGTGGGTCAATGGACCGTCAAAAAAAATCCATAGAATTTTTACCGTCCCTGTCAGTCTCTCTCTGTGTGCCTGTCTTTTGGGGTGTGCTGAAAGCATGTTCCAGCAGATAAGTCCACAGCGTCACGCCGCTACCGGTAGACATTCCTTCCATGCATTCACATTTACGTTGCTACTGGTCTCTCGTATGCAGTCCCAATTCATCCCATTCAAAACTCCACATGGTTTAGTGATGAAGGAGGGGTAGACTACTCCTCCTTCTTATCCTGGTAATCCTTAAATTGGCACTATATCCAAGCACCACAGGGCTGGAATTCTTTCCCTGTCTGACCATCACATCACTGTTTTGGCTGATGCCCAGGATACTCGCTTGTGCCTATCTATGGAATGCTAACGTGCACATGAGCAACAGGATGTTGACTGCAGCTCACTTAACAGCCACCGGTGTCATTACTAACAAGGGTTTTCTGAATCTTACATATAGAACCTTTAAAAGTCACTTGCTTTATTGTAAGTTCATTGCGATTGCTTCAGAATGTATTCCAGCAATCTGATGCACAAACATCTGGCTGCATATTAAGTGCCTGCCATGCAGAGCAACTCATTTTTATACTTATACTTGGATGTAAACTCTGCTGTGGTAAACAAAACATGGATGGCAACATGCAAAACATTGCCTCAAGAATTAAAACTGCATCACAATAGTGTCTTGAGCAACAGCTATTATTTTCATTGCCAAATGATATTAAGATCTCATTCTTTATTAATTGTTTGGGTTCTAAAATGTTAGAAAATAGTGAAAAATGTCCATTACACTTTTCCAAAGCTAAAGTTGACTTATTCCAATTATTATTCCAATAGTTTTCTCCCATGAACAGTATATACTCACATTTGAGAAGCTGGAAACTGACTTAAATGCCTAACTGACAACTAACATTTTTGTAGACAATTTTGTATCATTGAACCAATTCATTTTTTCAGCTCTCACTATGTATCAAGAATAACATACAAAAGCGCAACAAATATTAAAATGTGCTGAATTTTATTTGTAAGTAATAAATAAGAATGTTAAAAAAAAGCATGAGATTTCTGCTAATTTACTATTCTGTTAGTACATTTAAAATTGTAAAAAAAAATGTGGTCAAGGGTGTAAAATGACTTGTTTAGGACACCAAACACAGAGTTTATTACCTAACTTGCACTTCATGACCATTGATGATTTATTTGTATCATTCAAATGATGTTCATGTAATAATAAGTAAAATATGTGTCAAACATCTCAAGTAAAATGTGTGCTTTGCAACTTTACATTTCCACCTGTGCAAATAACACCAGCACAACCTATAGCAACCAAATACTGCTTCTGCAGACTCATACAGGACTTTCATGATGAGTTGGACAGGAAATGAAAACACAAACAGTCTGAGTAATTCTGCCATGCCACACACTCCTGTGAGAAACAGCTGACGTGTATACAAGTGCCCTATTTGAGTGGCTGTTGAATGTAGTTTGTTTCACGGTTCAGATCCAAAACCCTACTTTAGAGAAGTTATCAAATTTGGCAACGACAACAACACCCCAAGTTCAACCACAACACACGCCCAGATTCATCCCAGCCAATCAGAGACCGCTAGTCTCTGTGTCCAACCAATCAGCTACAGAGGGGGCAGGTCGCTCAGGCTGTTGCTAGGGCATGTCCCTGATGACTTTTATACTGTCACGCCAATCGAATCGCATCTCACCTTGTTCAACCTGCTCATTGGCTAAGACACACCCGGGGAGCCCGCCTCCAGGCTTTTCTTATTGGACAGAGATGCGATCACTCCCTTCGCTGAGTTTTAGTTAGGTGCTGTTGATACTGTAGTTTGGAGTCACCAAGACTCAGAAGTGAATATAGCAGCGCACATACATCGCTCTGCAACAGTTTTTTTAATTTCCATTCCATTATTTTATGACTTGTACATTTGTGTAAATAGATTATTTCTATTTTTATAACGAGACAACAACAGGATGGAACTTAATTCTCTTTTAATTCTGCTGGAGGCTGCAGAGTACTTGGAAAGAAGAGACAGAGGTATTTCACGCTAAATTGCCAAGTTGACAGCATTTCACGATCATTTTGTGAATGGAGAATTAAGGGTGGCAGCTGGCTTCACAGTCTAGCATATGTAAAGTTTTAACGTGCCCTGCCATAGTGCAGGTATGATGTCACTTTATAGACAATGGGGCATAGACCAGACGATGGGCGCAAGCTGGACCTAGTAGCCTTTATGCTAGAAAAAGAGTAACTGTAATTCATTATTTAAATGATGTCATGTATATGGACTGTGTTTGCAGTGTTTCTAATACAAAGCATTTGGTATATATACTTGAGTGCAGTATTTTTTGTAGAGAAATAAGAGTGACATTGAAAATATAGCGAGTATCACAGGGACAGATAGTCATAAATGGCCATGTATTATTGACTGTTGATTGAAATATAAAGATTGCTGAAGGCTACACAGTGCTGTATGGACGTATATTGGAAGCTATATGGATGTACTGTTCCTCTTGAATTGATATTTAGCCTCTGAAGCTATTTCATGTTTCACAGTTTCCGACTCAGTGGCAGCTCACTTTATTCTTATCCTTGCAGACATCACAATAAATGAACTTAATTCATTTTGTTTTGTGTGTCACCGTAGAGGCAGAACACGGTTATGCATCTGTTTTACCGTACAGTAGCGACTTCTCCAGAAAGAAAACGAAAGCATCGCCCATTTCCAGAAAGACTCAGAACAATAGGTAAATATATTCCTTGCTTTTGTATTTGTTTGTGTTCATGCCAGCTTATAGAAACACACACACACATAGAGTGGAGGAGAGCTGTTTTCATGCACACTGCCATCTTTCTTGCTGCCTGGGCTGGGCTCTCTGTTTTGGTCTCTCCAATAAACACTGCCACGCGTACACTGTCAACTCTTGCAGCTCTCTCGGTCTCTCTCCCTCTCTCTCTCTCTCTCTCTCTCTCTCTCTCTCTCTCTCTCTCTCTCTCTCTCTGTGTTTCACACACACCTAAAAAAAAAAACAGCCTTCCCATGCTGAGAGAAAGCACACCCGACATGCACGTAACCTTTCGTTTTTGCACCCTGTCTGACACAGGCTATCATACTTTCACCTGTGCAAAGCTTTGAAATGCCCCTTTCTTCATGTGGTTAGTTTGATTTGTATATTTGTGTCTGTGTGTTTGATGTGAAATGAAAGTAAATATTCTTTACTGTGGGGTCCCATGTCCATGCACACCCCATCCACCTCCTACTTCCACCCAGACACACACACACACACACATAGACATACTCACATTGTGGACTGTGACACCGTAGATCGAAGCCTCTGATCAGAGTATCCATTGGTTTTCATTCTCTCTTTGTGAAACTTTAACCAACACAAATTCATTCCGAGTTTGACCCCGTTTCTACAGTATGCTTTCACAGTCTTTAGCTACTATAGAAGTTACTGCAAGGGTATAATATTACACTGAATTACTTTATGTAAGTAAATGCAAGTTTCAGTTTCGCTTCAGTCCTGTGACTAACTGACTCTTTGTAGACCAGTTGTACAGCTGATTAAAGGTCATTTAAACATCAGCTGGTTAATGTTTAAGCCTCAACTCTGAACTAAAAAGGCCTATTCAGTAGTAGGAAAGCTTATAGGGTTGTATTGTATATTATCTTCATCATCAATTAATCTGCCAGTTATTTTCTTGACTAATCGATTAATTGATTTGCTGTTTTGTCTATAAAATGGCCTTCTTTTATGCAACCATTTGTCCAAAACCTGAAGATATTCAACTGTGTATGTCAAAGACAAAGCTACACATCTGAGAGGCTGAAACCAGAGAGAGTGACATTTTGCCTGAAAACCTACCTGCCAATTAATAGATTATTTTAAAAGGTGACGATTAGTTTTCTTTCTATTAATTCAACTGATCTTAGATCCTAGCACTAGTGTTTATTGAGATAGCTGACACACCTGATGGACCGTCACTGTGTTGCTGTAAAAGAGGGGTTTAAAATAAGTGAGGGACACACCCTCACCAGGAATCCCCTTTTTCTCCTGAGTTCATATCCACATTGGAGACTTTTACATCCTAGACTACACACACATTTTTACAAGGTTATTTTGCCCAGGTGTGCAACAGTGAACTCATTCAAATAGGAGTCCATCAAATCTGTGATTTGCTGTTAATGTGTTTTTGGTGAAACTTGCCAGAAACATTTGCATAATGTGTCCTCATCAGCCCAGTTTCATTCCCAAAAAAGACGAGCACGTCAAAGATCTGATGAAAAAAATAAAACATTTCCTGTTGGCTAATATTAGTTTAGGGAAACACAGTGAGCCTGATTTCTTCAGTAGTAAGTCTCAGAGTTACATCATTGCACATACAGCATGTTGACATGTAGTATCACTATTGTAATTACACTCCTTCTTCAGGTTTTGTAAATCTGAAAGTTTATTTTTGTCATATTGAAAGTGGCCCCTTCCACATTCCTCTGATACCTTCTCTGACAGCCGAACATAAGTAAGTGTGTGTGTGGGTGAGGGGTGTGTGTGCGTGGAGATGTGGCAGGTGGGTGTGGTGGCTAAAACAGACACATACACACTGTGACTCACTGGGCTTCATGCACCAGACCTGCTTTTCCCTCCTTTTTCTCGTGGCTGTGAAAAAAAAAAGTGAGGCACAGTTCCAAGCTCTCTTTATATTCTCTTGCAGTTTTTTTTTTAAGCATCAACAGGATGGTGTGGGGAGCGGGGGTTAGTGAGGTAAAACCATGTTTCACGTTTGAACTGAAACCAAATTTTAACAGAAGCTGGCTATCAGTTAAAAAGCAAAATACTTGCTTTGTAGCATCAACAACTTGCGTTGTAGTGTTTGATATCATGATCAAATCGTCAAATTAAACAGATGACATGTTTTCGCAATGGTGCAATATTTAGGGCATGTGAAGAAAAAAAATCAGCCTATTTCAGCACAGAGAAAGAAGAAACCCTGGTGGAGTTTCCTTGTTTCCTGGTTGGCTCTTGTTAAATCAAAACACTTCTAAAAAAAAAAAAAGAGTGATAGCTGGAATTTTATTATTAGTTTTCCTGCTTCACCTCTTTGTCACATTAGATATGAAATTAGAAAACGCCTTTTAAACTGTTTTTACATCCTTGAAATCTGTGGGAATGTGGGAAAATACACACAAGGTACTCTGACTATGAGCTTTGGCAGTTTTACCTCCCATATAAAAGTTGATATAAGGCCAATTTACAGGCCTTTCATAAGCAGGGCTGAGTTTATGACATCACATCATATAGTCCTTTGCATGCCACACCATTCTTTTACATAAGATGTGCATCAACCTCCAGTCCATGTGCATTCTATTCCTGTGAAATGTGCCTTATGATTTCCTGGTCATGGCCCTGTGCTTTGACTGGGACGTTCCCTCAGTTTCCCAACTTCCTCCATGATGGATTAAAGCTCTTTGTTGGCCTTTTGGATCAGGTTATTAGCAGCAGTGCAACATCCTGTGCTCCCTCTTGAATGATTTTGTGCAGGCGCCACATTATCCCCAGTTGCACGGTCAACTGTAACCCCTTTGGAGCAGTGAGCGGCGTCGCTGTGCAGATGCCCCGGCCTCCTCCAGCACAGCTGTGTGAACCACTGCTTCACGAGCTCAAGGGCTCTCAAACTGTGGAAAATCTGAAAGGGCTTGTTGTCAGTCTGGCCCTTTGTTGTTGCTGTTTTTGTTTTTATTGCCGTGGTATCCATGACGGTCTCATGAACAGAGGCCCTGTTTCAGAGGGACTGCAGTGCCCTCGCTGCTCCCGGCTGCACATCATAATAGAGACTCTCCTCGGGATAGCCCACATGCTGAGGAATTCTGCAGCGTCTAGGCCTCCAGACGTCTGGGTGTGTTTTTATCCCATGTCCAGCCAGCGTGCGGCAACAACAGCAGTGCGTGCATGCTGTTTGTATGTGTGCTGGGCGAGCAGGGAGGGGGGTGTTGTGCAGTGTCACAGATACTGCTCTCTCTCTCTCTCTTTCTCTCTCTCTCTGGGCCATTTTTGCCCTCTGCTCTCGCTCTCAGACAGATGTCACACAGATATGGAAAAAGACTTTAAAAAATCTGGCTTTATTTTTGCACGGTTGTCATGGATATCTATTTCCAGAATGTGTGACCAAGTTTCTGCATGTCTGTGCCCTTAATTCACCAAATCAGAATGAATATGCAACAGATAAGGCCTGTTATAAAGTATTACAATATTCGCCCTGTATAACTACAGCAGTTAAAAGCCCCAGAGCCACCTGGAGGCAGAAAGAAAGCAAAAAGCTGGGGAAAATCGAGGCCCTTCTTTGATGTCTTGACACATTTTTCCTGAATGTTTCTCAGATCTGCTGTTACTTGGCACTCTCTTCCAAACATCTTGCTCTAATCTGTTTTACATTTAGATCAGAACATTTACTAACCAAGCTTCTCACCTTGGGATTATTCATTACATCCCATCCTAACTGTTGAAGTTTGTTTAGAAGTTTTGGTGCTTGCTATCTTGACACTAATCTTTGCCTTTATCTGTTTGTCCTTTCAGATCGTCGCACAACGAGCTGGAGAAACACAGGTGAGGTGACGTCTGAAGTTGTTTGACCTCTCATGTTTGTCTGATTCACGCAAATATCTGTACCCAGCAATACTGAATTCCTAACATATGAAGTGAGGGGATGCTGGCTGCAGGTAAACGTCAGACATATTTCTCTCAGTCAAAAGCATCAGATCGAATCAGGGGTCATCTTCAAAAGAGCCAGAGATTTAATCAATTAATTCCTCGTGTGTGAAAATGGATAATAAGCTGATTTCAAAGAGCACCTTCATGTTGATTAGATCTGTCTCTGTTTCATGGATGAAACTCGTTACCTTGTATGGAAGGGGAATCCTGTCAGTAATGTGATAATCCTGCCCAGACTGATACTGTGAGCGTAGGCGTGGTGAATCTGTGCCTCGCCTGTCATTTCTCCAAAGTGAGAGGGCCAATGATGACACACACACACACACACACACACACACACGCACGCGCACGATGATCTCGCTTTACTACTCCCAGCATGCACCTCACTGCAACTCAGAAACATGTTCTGTTTCTTATCTTTCCTTCGGGGTACAGCACTAGCTTGTGGTGATGTGATACCCTTGCTCATTAAAGGCACAGGCGTCTGTTTTGACTTCACTAACAGGGGAAGTGACTTCACTGATCCAAAGGGCTTTCTTGTCTGGAGGCAAACCCCCAATTCGATACACAAAACCTAGCTGCCCTTTTTTTTTTTTTTTGTGTATCAAGGTCAGCCCAACTGACTCTCAAAAAACTGCCTGCCCGAGAGGATTTAGGAAACAGCTGATGTGACTATCAGCATGTGAGCAGAAGCTGAGATGGGTGTGTTATGCTGCATGTGCGTGACACTCTGTCACCCACATTGAGGGATTGGGGTTTGTCAGTCACATGTCTGAGAGTGAGCAATGGATGTGTGTAGAGCAGAGAGAGACAAGTGCGGACATATCCCTCTCTGACCTGAGACACAGAGGAGGCCCCGGCTGATTACAGCGCAGGTGTTGAGACACAACAGTTACCTCACGTCCGATGATGGGGTGTGGTTGGTTACCAATGTAGTGACGTCCAGTCAAACTGACAAATGCAATTGCCAGTAAAGTGTTCCATAATCGCTTTACTCACTTCCCTTGTCATCACTATGGCCACAAGTTTCTAAAAAATACGTTTTTTTCTTTTTCGACGTCCAGTGCAGTGTCATGACTGATGTTAAAACATGACTTCTCTCATGTATTCAGTAGTATTTTGGCCATGATGTAATAATATAAATAAGTGAAAATGCTTTAAAACTCTGCAAGTCACATTGTCCACAAGTGAAGTATTGTTCCGTATTTAAAAGTATTGCCCTGCCTTATTCTTTCAACCTACTTATTTGTAATGACAGGCCCTGTAGTGACGAAGTATCACTGTGATCGTTTGCAGCACAATGCATCCTGATTCAATCTCTGTCTGGACCTGTGGCCCCAAATTACATGTCATTACTCCAACATAGAGGTGTGAAAGGTTGAAACTGTGACTTGAGGCTTGAGGATATTGTTTAAGTGAGGTGTGGTGCTGAAATGATTAACTGATTGATCTACCAAGAGAAAATGAATCAACAACAATTCTGACACTCATGTAAGTCATTTATCAAGCAAAAATGTCAAACATTTGCTGATACCAGGTCCTCACATCTGAGGATTTTTGCGTATTTTCTCTGTTGTGTATGACTTATATTGAATATTTTTTGGTTTTGAAATACTGGTTGGACGAAACAAGTGATCTGAAGACGTCACTTTGTGTTATTAGAACTTGCAATGGGTATTTTTTACACATCCGTAATCAAGAGAAACCGAAAGAAAAGATCCTACTGGTATGCTAACGTTTGGAATTAATCCAACATTTTCAGTGTCCTTGGTTGATCTCGTGTCTGTCTGCTGATGCTTCATAAGAAAACATAAGAAGTCCTGTCCAACCAGTTTAATGACTGTGTGACTAGTCTGGATTCTCTGATTCGCCTGTTTAATCTACATCAGTTGCTGTATTGTTTCCTGAAGTTCGACACCCCTCACACCCTCAGATGCCACTTGAGGGAGGTGCTGCTGTTTGAGGCCTGACTCACTGTCTTTATTTGGTTATGTGTTGGTTTGTTTATTTCATGCTCGTGTAGAACAGTCATCTTTCTATTGCAATTCACGAGGTAGACAATGGGGCTGGTGCCATTGAATCTATTGTGAAAAGTCAAATAGTAGTTAATTCAGGTTATCTTGCAGGTAATTCTGGGTACCAATGTAACTGGAATTTCTTGATTTTCAAGAACTTAATTTAACGTAGAATACTGATGAAAGTTTTGTTCTCAGCAAACAAAATCCAATGGCCTCCAAATGTCTAATGCCTGCGTCATCTTGACTGCTAAACATCACAATGTCAGCTGTTTCGACGTCAACTCAATTTTCCGTTGAAAATGTAACGTCTGTTCAACGTTAGAGTCATTACAAATGAATTAAGTTCATTATTATTATTGAGTCAATTATTCACTTTTGAGAAATATGAAACACATTTCTATTAAACTCCATTTTATCTTTTAACAAAAGAAGCCAAAGTGAAACTTTGTTTAAAGAACTTAAAATGGCTTAAAATTTGAACATTTTGATTGAAATCAAGCAAGAATACAAACCAGACCAGACATACAAGACTCTTCTCTACAGACACATTTTGCTTGCTAACAAAAGTTACAAGCCATCTATCCATTTGAAGCCAGTATGTCAAAGTCTAATGTGAAAGTTTTTCAGACACATTTCTGTCCACATTTTTCCATTTCCTGTAGACACCAGTCTGACTTACTGCTGCTCAGTGATCTTGTGCATGATAAGTGTCTTTAGTGAAACTGTCCTCTGGCTTGGGACAGCCATTCAGGAGGCACCCTGCATATATTTGTGTTATCGGAGTGAGACGTCTGGGTGAGTGCCAGCGTGGTCCCATAGTGTCGCCTGTCCTGACACAACCTGCTTATCTGCTGCAGCCTGAGCATAGTCATGACAGCTCTGTATAAACCATCTCAAGAGTGACTCTGCAGGTTTTTTTTTTTTTATTTCCTCTCATCATTGTATTGGCACAGGACAGAGCTGCTGAGCATCAGCTTGACGTTTCTGTGAAACCAAATGCTACTGTGTGGTTGGTCTCTGATGGTATTGCTTCCTTCCCATTTCTGAGTTCAACCGCTTGTGATCACGCCTCTGACGAGACTCGTCCATGCCACGAGTTTCCTTTTCTGGCTACGCCAAAGATGTTGCGAAACTGCAGACGTTTTGTTTCTCACACATCACCTGTTTACAGGAAATCTGAGTCCAGTCGTGTAAGGCCGGGCAACTTGAATGTTTTCACTGCTCACCTCAGTTGACAAAAAGATTTACGGAACTATTTTTACCTCACAAACACGATCCATGGCTGTCAGGTGCTCTCAGTTTCATTTCAGAGATTACTCAAGAGTTTGCAGATTGATTTCAACAAACAAAATGTGTTCGCAATACACTGCACTGTATTTCCCTGCTGCAGATAATGTGCAGCAACTGTGTGACATCTCTTGTACTTAACTTTAAATTTACACACACTTCATGGAAACAGGAGTAGGCTCTCAGTTTGTCACGGTCTAATCTTCTCTCTAATTAAATTTACTCTCCCAGTGTCTTCTACTCCCAGCTGTGATGAATGACTTATTTGGCTTTGAGGAACTCTTTCCCCTTGAGTGTAGCTCACCTATGTGTGTGTGTGTGTGTGTGTGTGAGTGTGTGTGTGAGTGTGAGTGTGTGTGTGTGTGTGTCTATAAGCCGTGTTGGGCAGCAGCAGCAGCAACAGCACCTCACTGAGCTGTTTGAGTTATGGTGGTGGGAGGGAGAGCTGTCCACGGCCCTTTTACTTCACCCCTGTACCTTCTACTCTGTCTCCAGAGACCACATCTGTTTTCTCTGTTATCTTTTTTTCCTCTTTCTCCTCATTCTTGCTCTAATTTTCCCCCAGTGTCTGAGTCAGCAGAAACCTGAGGCAGAAAGGCAGAGCCCCCCACCTCACACAGGGCCTTTATCATTCTTTACTGATCCTGATCCTGCCAAGACTCATCTGCGCCCGTTGCGACTCTTTTGAGGTGTAAATCTTCTTTTGTGACAGTGAGTTTATGTGGAGGAGTTTTGATGGGCCTTTTAATCTGCTTTTTAATGTGGATTGAACACTCCACACACACACACTGTGAAGTTAAGGTCATGTCCAGTCCACATGCTGCTTTTAAATATGAATTATTATTATTATTATTATTATTATTATTATTTTTAAAAGACGCTGCTTCATAAACAAAGTGAAGAAAGTTTGGGCTTTACTGTGGCATTCATGTGCTCACATGATTGCACGTGGCTTTTATACTTTACTTCCTCATACGCCACACTGTCAGTTACACTCACATGTGTGTGGTGACCTGGAGTCATTAGGCCTTGCATGGGCAGCCAGTAAACCAGATTAATGAGTGATGTGGCCTCATCATTAAGGCTCATGTTGTACTTTGTAGCAACATGTATATTCAACATGAAATCAGTGAATCTGACCTAACATTCGAGTTGGTTTGGGCTGTACCACATGGATAATCTTATATCATGGTTCGCCTAGTTTTATATTGCAACATGAATACATACATTACATTGTTGATTAGTCTGCGGATTATTTTCTGTCAATTGTTCAGTTTATAAAATATCAGAAAATAGTGAACAATGTAAATCAAAATATCCCAGAACCCAAGGTGACATTTAGATTGAATAGATTGTTTTGTCCAACTGTGGTGCCGCCACCCCATAAAAAGGGCAGATGATGGTGTTTCACTGGAAACTTTAAAAGAGATGTTCCAAAAATTTTGATTTTATTAACAAAAATATCACCAAACAGAAAAAAATGAACCCCAGGAAATTCAACAAAAAAATAACTTAAACCACAACATCAAAGAAGTAAAAATCTGCATTCTCACAGCAAGCTGCCACCCGCGCTGTCCCTCATTACTACAGCGAGGACCTAATCACACACACCTGTTTCCCCTTTCCCTAACTGAGCTGCTGATCAACCTCATCAACCCAGAAAAAAAACTGAAAATATACAAAGTGGGCTGACCCTTCCAACATATCACACCTACAAACAAAGATCAGCCACATCTCACAACCAATTCATTGAATAACTGAACCTGAAAAATGTATAGAAACATCCAGCTAAAATACTGATTAAATATCAGTCCGAGCCTATAGTGAAAAGGAGATGGAGCAACCTTTTCACACCAACAGTTCAAACCTAAAAATATTGAGTTTATTATTACATTAGAGAGAAAAAAATCCTCCCAATTAAGAAGCTGGGACTACAGATGTGTAATTATGTGCTTGAAAAAATAATTTAAGTTATGAATTCATTATCAAAACTCTCATATTAATTTTTGGTCAATCAAATAATTGATTATTTGACTGAATATTTCAGCTCTGCATATATACATTTTGTGATATGCTCATTTTTCTGTAGCATTTGTAGATTAAGCAACCAGATGTGGATTTCTGTGTCCAGTGAATCTAGTGGTTAAAATATATGTAATGGCGTTTAATCAATTTGATGCAAAACTCTCGTAAATCCAATACTTTATAGCACAAAATGATTTCCATGAAGTAGTCCTCCTTATTGATCTGCAACATTGCCGACAATGGTCTAATGCAACCAGATATATTAAAGGGATATCTACTTCGATATATTTCTAGCATCTCCCCATATCTTCTGTCATATTGCGCAACTTTACAAACTATTACACATTTACTGAAGTCAATGTGGATGTAGCCTTAGGGCAGTCTGAGTTGTAACCACTGAAAGTCTGTATGTGCTCAAAGAATAAGAAACATGCTACAGCTGGAGGTCAGCAGCAGAGGTGACATGTGGAATTTCTCCACCCTGAGGTCACCGGGTGCTGAGAGGTTCTTCAACTTTCTCAGGTCAAACCCGGCCGTGGTTGCTGCACTGCGTCGCTGTCTGTGTACGAATGTAGGCCTGCCGATGATTCGCAGTTGCTTTTTGAGATATTTGAGCATGAAACCACGCCAGCCATAGACCTACATTTGCAGTGAGAACGTTCCTGCTCCCTGTCAGGTGTCGCTGCTGCAGGGCACACTGCGTTTCTGTGTCAGTAAACTCACTTTACTGCTGCAAAGCAGCTGATGTTCATAAAAACAACAACGTAGGATGCATTTTAACAAGGTGTGTGCATGGCTTTCTTTTTAAAAAACAATTAAAGAATGAAGTGAAAAGGGGGAGAGCGTGTTGACTAAACCATTCATGGTTTGCTCACCGGCCCTGCGCGCCTGAGGAGAAGGAGGAGGCGAAGACATTCTTGAGCGTTGTGGAAGGGAGGAACGGGAGGCAGCGTAGGACGTGGCTGCTCTGTGTGTTGAGCAGGCAGTCTGAAATTCAGGTCAGCAGAGTATGCACACATACACTGGAATGTAGAGTTAAGTAAGAGAGGCGGTTTAGGGGGAAGAGTTTGCGGGTGGATGGGGGTCACAAAATTAGCAGACCGAGTATTACGAGAATGCTCTACAGCTGCATCCACATTGGGTGCTGCTTGTTTTGTTGGCAAGCAGGGGATCGCAAGCAAATACTTGTATGATTATGCATTGATAGAGTGGATTTGAGCTGCAGGCAATCTGTCATTCATAAATCTGTTTTTTCCTCTTGTTTTTATTTTAATAACTTCTGAGGAAATTGAATCTTTTTTGTTGTGTCCCCTTTTCTGTTAGTCACTTCCCAACCTCTCAGATTTATCCTGCGATTCCTTTAAGGTGAGTCCAGATCCTCAAATTGGGACCCCACCTTTGCTGCTCTGCAACCTCCTCTCAGAAGTAAACAGCCAAACTTTTACAGTCAACGTGGAGGCTGTTAATCATTGACAAGGATTCATTATAAAACCAGAGCTTGTCGTGTCAGGGGAATGTGTTTATTGAGCTCACAGAACTTGTCTCTGCTAGTCTGTCCAACATTTGCAGATGTACCTTTCAATGCACGCAGCCAAAGGCAACTAATGTCAAGGTCTGTCATTTGACCTTGTGTTGAAATGATTCAAAGATGCACAGGGGGAAGGCTCTATTACCCCCCCCCCCCCCCTGTTTGCTCACACGCTCTCCTCTTTAAATTCTATTTGACATCTGTTTTTCTGTTGACACCACTGTAAGCTGGCTGTGCTGAGGAAGGAATTTTGTAATGATCCATGCTTGCACAGGGGATTGTTTCAGTACATGAAAAAAAAAGCCTAATTACTAGGCATCCCCCAGCACACCCAGTGGAAATTCCAGTTTGTTTTGTGGGAATGCCACTACTACGAGTGAACAACAAACTGCCTAATTCTGCAGTTTCCTGTTGTTAAATCACCAGTCAAGCACGCTCCTCTTTCTTCAGAGTGATTCTACGAGTAGTGTAACTGGGCCCCTCCCTCTGTCTGAGCTGCTGTTGTGGTGTGTTCAAGTTTCTGTTTGCGTGGGAGAGTGGAGTGATGTGAAAGTGAGCTCCATGTCCCCGCCGTCAGGAGAATGTGTTTATGGGGGACTCGTATTCTTCTGTCTCACCTCGCAAGATGTAGGGTAGGCGTGGCATCCTCGATGACAGAAAACAAACACAGCTTGTCCCAGACGACTGACATTTCATATCGGCATGATAAAAGCCTCTCGTGTCTCCCCGTGTCTCTCCGTCTCGTGTGTTTCTCATGTCTTGCTGGCGTGGGCAACGTGGCAAACCACCACAGACAGTTTCACACGAGCTGGTTTAACGCCGTCTTATTTTTCTGCCGTCTTGTTCTGCAGAGACGGCACATCAGATCTGTGTTAAATGTAAACAGGTTCAGGGCAGGGCTGGAGGGTGACAGTGAGACTGATGAAGTGGGCTGCTGAAAGGCCTAGTGTGTGTGTGTGTGTGTGTGTGTGTGTGTGTGTTGTGTTTGTTGGCTGGCCCCTGGGCAGGGCCCCTCACCACCTCAAACTTCCCTCCATCTGCCTCGTACTCCCCAGAAACCTGCCAGCCAGATGTGGAGCCACTCCACTGGCAACCCCAAATTCCACCACCTCACCATGGTGATCCACACTCACGCAACGCAGCCCCCACTTCCACTTCACTCAGCAGAGCCGCGCCGTAAACAGGCCACCAGCTGCAGAAAGATTCGGCTTTGGAAAAGTTTTGGGTCATTTTCTTGTGTCCTACTTTACAGTTAAAGCGAAATGTTAAATGACTGATGCTGTATAGAAAGTGTTTTGTTAGAGAATTAACATGTGAAAGTGACCAGTGACTATTCAGGATAAACAAATAATATTGGCAGTTTTGAAGATGTTTGATGGGGGTAAGAAACACAAGCAGTCAGGTCAAGTTGAACAGGCTTATTTGTAAGTGAAAACGAAGGCAAATGGTTCAATTATTACCTAAGCCGACTTCCTGGTTCAACTAAACCACTTTATTTGGAAGTAAAACTGATGAAATGAGCATGTCGAAAATGTAGGTAATAATCCCTGATTGCAGTTTTGTGTATAAACCTGTGGAAGTAGGCCAGATATTTCCAGATCTCTGCAATCTTATTGTTAATGACAAGAATGATAAATAAAACTATAAATATAATATACAAATTGTAGAGAGCTGGAATTACCCTTTAAGGCCTTACAAACACAGATTAGATAATCTTTCATTTAGAGACAAAATTGATAAACTAACTCTCTGCATCACTGTGCCTGCTTCAAGTGGAGCGGACCAGGCAGTGCATCCTCCATGCTGATGTCTTGTGGGCTCAAGTCAAAACAACACCAGAGGCCCGGTATTGCATTTTCTCTTTTCCTCAAACCCAACAGGGAGCACACCGAGTCAGCTCCGGCAGTGAGAGGAAACATTGCAGTGGTGTCTCCTGATGACCTCTGACCTTAGTTTAGCGGGTTTGGCTCCGTGCCAGACAAGCCACTCAGTCCTGTGCGTATGGGTTGAGGAATGCGCTAGGCTGCAGCAAGCTCATTAAACAGTGCAGTGAGTGAAGGCCCGTTGTTTGCACTGGCTCGCCTTCTCAGGCCCTGCAGCTCTTTGTGTGCCGATAGATCGGCAATCCCAGAGCGCTGGACGGTCGCAGGACTCACTAATGTCACCAGGACAGTGTGTGAGAACCACGATGTGTGTGTGTGTGTGTGTGTGTGTGGACACTGTAAAACTGGTCATCCACATCCTTTGACATGCATCCGTCAGACATACACAGGCTGCTGTAGATACACTCCTCGCCTTTGACTTTAGCTGCAAAACAAGACATTTCATGCTTGTTCTCCTTCCACGTTCCAAAGTGTGATCAGATCCGTGAGAAAGGCCCGGTCTGTACCCAGTAACCTTGGAGTGTAAGTCAGCAGTTTAAATAGCTTGTTCCAGTTTCAGCACCGTGCAGCTCTCTGACCAAAAGTTCCTTTTATTTTTTCCTCCGTCTTTGCTTTGTTTTGGCACTGAGCTCCCGATGGAGAGGGAAGAGGAGGGGGGGAGGGGGAGGCCAGAGATCAGACACAAATCATCCCGTGGTACTCTGCACGTGAGAACGGTCAGGTGGTCATTTCCCTGCAGACATGACTCCGGAGCAAATCAAATGGTAGATTTACTATTAAATCCTCACATGCAGAGAAATCGCAGTCCATTTCATTTTTGCAGTTTTAGCAATTTTCATTTGCCAGGAGAATTTTTTTAATGTTCAAATGCTGTTGTTAGAGCATGATATTGCTGTTCCTGAGTATTGCACGCACTCTACAATGATTTTCACGCTTGCTGACAGACAAACCAGAAATCTGCCTTAACCCTTTTGTGACACCACACCAACACTCTCACACTGTGACTAGTGGAATATCAAAGACGGGCCTATTTTCAACCCAGACAAATTGGAAAATTTGACGTGATTCAGAACCATGCGAACTGTCTGCTCTCCGTCAACATTCACGTTTTGTCTGGTACAGCACTTTGCATGGCTGTTTGAGGCAATCTGATAAACATTGCGTGACCAGGGCTTGGCTGAGGCATAACAAACGTGAGTGAGGGAGGGTCCTAACTCCAAATCAGCTGTGTGCTCTTGAAGAAAAATAGCGAGTGTGTCTCGCGGCAGGGGAACACGTGCTGCCGGGAGGGAGCTGTCAGGGACACACACACTGCCAGGTTTAACCGGGTCATGTCTTATCGATATGCATCAGACACATGAAGCTTTTCTTAGGCAGGGTCACAGTAAGGACAGATAGAAGGAAAATAGAAAGCAACATATCATGGAACAAATAGTCATCATTTAACCAGACATGTATATTGTCATTTACAGTTATCCCACATTTTAAAGGAGTAGTTTGACATTTTGGGAAATACATTTATTTGTTTTCTTGGATGTTACATGAGGAAGTTGATACCACTCTCGTGTATGGTAAATATGAGGCAAAAACCAGCAGCTGGTTAGCTTAGCTTAGCATAAATACAAGGAACAGGGGGAAACAGCTAGCCATCTCAACTTTATACCAACTTTTTTTGTTTGCTAAAAGCAACGTTTTAGCTTGTCACTGTCCCTTCCTTTTACAAAATCTAGTCACTATTCAATATACATTTATTGCTGTTTCCTGTAATATCTTTAATATTGTCAATTAACATTGTTAAAATTGTTCCAAAAAAGGCTCTAGCTGTGCGCGTCTCCTGAAAACAAGGGTATGGCTCACCTCCAGGTCAACATGTGTTGTCTGCCTAACGAAAAGAAGTGGTATATCTGAGGGCTTGAATACCAAACAGTGGGGACATTGGTTTTATTTTTATGTGGTAGAGGTAATGGTGAAAGTGCATCTGTGCATATTTCAGCCCTCTGCATGCCAGGTAAAATATGTGGTGAGCATACAGGTGGGGCCTGTGATGAATAAGCCAGTAAAAAATGCCAGAGTTTTCTTGGGGTGGGGAAGGTGGGTAGTCAGGCAGAATATTCGGGGGAACGCCTTGTTTTTGTTTTTCATTACAAGAGAGGGAGAGGTGGGGTGGGGGTGGGGGGGGTGTGGGGGGGAGGGTGCAAGATGGTTGCCCATTGGCTCAAGTTACCCTTTGGATGATGTGTATGGAGTGCTGCCTAGTGCAGCTGAGCACACTGCACTCAAAGAGCCCTTTTTTCAACGCAAGAGAAAGTCATCCACTTGCTCGGACCCCACTCCCTTCCAAAAAACACCCCACACCCCCCCTCTGCTGCAGACCCCCAGCTCCTTCCTGCCTGCTTCCCCTGGCTGGACTCCAAGTGCTTCATGTGGCTCGACTGGGGCAGGTTGGAGGTGGGCCCCCACCCCTGTCCTCAGAAGACACTTGTTTTCCAGTGGGATGAGGGTGTGTTGGTGTTGGCAGGGTGGAGTAGAGGGGTGGATGGGGTTGAGCGGATGGGGGGGAGAGGCGGGAGGCTGCCCCCTGGGAGAGGAGGAAATAAAAGAACCAGTGCACTTTCACACGCCCTTTTTTTGGGAACGCCTGTGTGCACCTGTAGAGGGAGAGATGGTTTTGAGGGCAAAAAAAAAAAAAAAATCATTCAAATAAAATTTGCTTTAAATATCAGGTGTGTTTTTATAAGTACGATCAAATCCCTAAGAATTAAAGATACATTTATCATTTAGGATTTTGGATTATTATGTTTAGTCCCTGATACTGTCTTGTTGCCCACAGGCTGTCTCCGGCTGACCGCTAAATGAAACAGACGGCGCTAGTGAGAGGGTCTTACTTTATGTGAAAAACACAGGTGACGCCCTTCCTGAAAAAAGAAAAAAAAAAAACAGGGAAAAGACTGTGTGCATGTGTAAAGAGTGTGTTCTTGTGCACTAGCTGTGGTCTCCTGTGTGCTTGCTCGGCTCTGTAGCCAGCCCCAGAGAGCTTCATTTCTCTGATTAGGTTTATTGTGGTTGCAGCGATGGCCAGTGGAGACCTTGCATTGTTGGGAGTTTGTTTACCGTTCAGCCGGAGTTAGCCAAAGGAACGGGAGAAAAAGGGGAAGGCTAGCTCAGAACAAAGAAACGGTTCATGGACTAGCTTGACTAATGGAGGATTGAAAGGCCTTTATGAACAAATTTGAATGGACCAAGGACAGAGAGGGGAGCTGATCTGCTGATAAAAATGTTGCGAATAAAAGCAGTCCTTAGAAATGATGTACAATATCCATACAAAGTCAAAGAGATTAACTTTGCCTTGTCGTCACTATCACTGATTCAGCATCCGAACGCTGCGTCCAGTGAGTGTTTGCTCGTCAATCCGGGGTCGCTGGCCTGTCGGGCTTTGGCAGGGATGCAGTATTTTCTGGGGTCACAGTTTGTGTCATCAGTTCAGCCATCAGAGCCATGAGAAACTTCTCATTGCTGTCATTTTGGTCAGTAATGATTTTTGCACCTGGTGACTGTGGATTTAAGGACTCACCCTCAGTATTAGGGGCACAGGAGGGTTTTCATTCTAATGCATCAGTCAAACAACACAGGGGCGACGGCAATGCATCACTGGACACCGCACAGTTATAATGAAGTCAGTATGTTGCACTAAGGTATTCTGCATTAGTAAGAGTGAGTAGTTTGTTTGTGCAATGCAAGTATGTAAATACACTACAGCGTTTACAAAATGCAGACACACAGTAAGGGTTACATAAATATAATTTACGTTTTCTAAAAACAGGAACGTTTCCAATCTAAGGCACTGTAAGCTGCGTGTCACATGTGGGTGTATTTTGTCACCGCATGAGTGAATGACACTTCCTTTCTCATGCTGGCTTACTTTTGATATGTTTGTCTGGATTAATTACAGTTATTCTGGACCTCTGGGTACTGGACTTGGGGCTGGTTGAATATCTGGTTAGATATCATTGGTTGGTGTAGCTGAGTTAATTACATTGGATTCAGACTAGTTATTTACTGGAAACTGCGAGAGTAAATTTAGGTTTATAGAAGATTCACAATGTTGATATACTACAGTATTTTTACGGTGGATGAGGACATTTACATTGCAGAACAACATAGGCAAATCATTACAGGGATTTGAAAGTGGTTTGCTGGAGCCTCTGCAAGCTTTGAGCATGTGCAACCTTTAAGACTGGTCCCCGTCAACACAGCGTTTTCACAGTCAAAGTCAAAGTCACACCTAAAACCAATTGTGCAGAGCATCACCCCCCCCCCACACACACCCCGCCCCGATCTTGTAGTTTTCAATCATCAGTACAAATATGTTCCACATATACTCTGACTTTCATGTCCTTTTCTTGTACTGATGATTACAAGAAAAGAACATGAAAGTCAGAGTATATGTGGAACATATTTGTTTCTGCCTCTCAGGGATGTGTGGATAAGCTCTTGTCGGTCTGTTTGTGTGGGTACCCTCTCACTTTTCTGCTGGTGGACGTGTGCTGCTGACTCACCCTGTGCTTGTGTGTGTTTGCAGACGTGCCAAACTACGGCTGTACTTGGAGCAGTTGAAGAAGCTGGTGCCTTTGGGTCCAGACAGCACGAGACACACCACACTGAGCTTGCTGAAAAGGGCCAAGATGCACATCAAGGTACTAAAAAACACACACAGATTTATGAGGAAAATAAAATACTCGAGGCTGGCTGTGTGCACAACGTGTTTGCTTCTGTTTGATAAGTCTCCCTTTGAAAAACAGTTTCAACATTGTATTTCTCAAAAAATCATAGGAAGACAAATCAATGATAAAAATAATTGTTAGTTGCAGTTCTAGTGCAGACTAAAACTAGATGAAATTCCCCTTCAAAAGTCTCGTTTGTCCCCCTTCGTGAGCCTCAAGAGCACCAAACTCTATTCCATTCCTCCCATTTCTTCTAGCTGTTTGGTTTTCACCCTTGCCTCCTTTAAGTGGTATATTGTTTTCTAATCTTTCAATCAAAGCGGTTTAGAGACTGCCGGAAAAAATTGCTCCAAAGACTGAAAGAAAAAAAAAAAACCCTTAACAAACAAGTCAACAAAGTGGGATATACAGGACATTTAGTGGCTGATAGATGGTAGATTTGTGAGAGGAGATAATTGGATGTTAAGTTTGTTTAAGGCCAGCTCCTCCTCCATGGTTCATTAACTCTTTCAGCTCACAAACACACACACGATATAAAAAAAGAAAGTGTGCAGCAGTGCCAGTGACAGAGAAGGCCCTATAAAACATCAGAGCTGAATATCATTTGATTCTTGACCTTGCCATGTGGAAGATGAGCTGCAAATGTAAGTACAGCTTAGGACACGCTGTACTGATCTGGTTGTTTACAAGCAGCAACAGTGTGGTCGGTGGAAAATCCAGACGTAGCGAGTTTTTTAACCCTTCATTTCCTGTTTGTCATGCATGTTCTCTCTGCTCAAGATGATCTGCGCTAATTCTCGTTACTGTGTTGTGTCTTCTCGTATCACAAGGGCCACATGTGTCTGACTTCGCCTTGATTCACCACCGAAAACTTTCATAAGCAAATAAGTGCAAAATCCAATCCCACACTGAGTCAAACTATTACTGGTGCTCAGCTTTATTTTTACTTTCTAACCTTCAAACCTCACATAGTCACTTCCCTACTACATGTTGAAATATAGTTGTTAAATACACTCTTTTGTAACTTTGGCAGAGGTGGGACTGGCAGGAGATGATAGACAACAAAACTGGTTTCATAAGCTATCACATTTATACATGATAACATCAGTAACAGTATCTCTGGGGTATGATGTTAATCGATATTCTAGCAAAGTTAGACAGCAATAACACTAATTCTAAAACTATATGGTAATCACAACATGAAAGAAATGATGTTCTTTTACATATTGTACCTTTTGTATTTTCTTATTGTACATCAAAACTTGAAAAAAAGTTAACTTAGTTAAAAAGGTCATTTTTTTGTGTGAAGACAAAATATGAAAAGGCTGCAAACAGATATTTGATCAGTCCCACTTTCTTGACAACATAAAAAATTCCGCTATTGCAGCTTTTTTTATTGTTGGTCTCACACTGTGTTTATGTGTATAACATTTTTACTTTCTTGTCTTTAGGAAACAAGAATATTATGTGGTGTGCCGAAATTACCTGTCTTTGTTTATATTTGACTGGAAAATGCTGTAAATATTCATTATTTTTAAAACGCAAAATGTATTGCAAGAGAAAATCCCCACAGTGGCCTTTAGGGGGAACCCATATGTTATTTAAATTGTGTGACAAAAATGAGTAAATCAATAAATAAATAAACAATAATCACGCAGTGTAAAGGTATAGAGTTAAATGTAAAGATGGAGGTGCCAAGATCATCACTGATTCGTGTTATGTTTGTGTCTCCGCAGAAGCTGGAGGAGCAGGACAGGAAGGCTTTGAATGTGAAGGAGCAGCTGCAGAGAGAGCACCGCTACCTCAAACGCCGCCTGGAGCAGCTCTCTGTGTCGGGATCTGTTGAGCGCATCCGCACTGACAGCATGGGCTCCACCATCTCCACCGACTCTGAGCAAGGTGTGCTGGCTTTAAAAAAGAGACTTAAAACATCATTGATGACAAGCACACCCACACTCTCACATACTGTGTACTCCACATAGCTCGACCGTGCCGTATAGACGCTCCTTTGTTGTGGTCAGGCCTTTATTTAACTATGACATTAATGTAAACAATATGCAGCTCACCAAATCAATAACGACCGAGGTGTGGCTCGGCGTGGTCTTGACGCGCACACCGCGTACCCTAAAGCCTATACCTAAAATGATTTCTGTTTGCAAATCATTTGTCAACACAACACTAATGGTGCTGTCATCCACACTGCAACTCAGTCAGAGCTGCTTGGCTGTTTGCACTCCTCTCGTTGTCCACTGATAAACTCTGAGCCACATGATTATTAGCCCCGGCCTTGTTTGCAGGTGATGCCCCGGGGGTTAAAGGTTAATACCTCAAACTGCAGATAAAGAAATCAAGCTCTCCTTTCTAGCTACTGACTTGTTGCTGATTTTTAGCTCTGGATTTGTTGTTAGTGTGGTCTGAAAAAGCTCAACAAGCTTATACAAACAAATTACAAACAATATTCCGTTGCTTCTGTCCACTACTGCTGGTTCTATCTGAATACCATTATCCTGACACCCAAGCCAATCTCATGACACTGAGGTCGTCAGTGTACTTCAGTGGAAGTGCTGGTCAGATGGTCGACTGTGTGGCCAGACAGAACAGCTCTAACCTGAGCTTCAAGGTGCATCTGCTGCTCACACGTGTCACACGCTCGCCTGAAATGCTTCGCTAGGACTGTTGTACTGTATGTTTACTAATCCTGGATGAGGTAAACACACATGCAGTTGTTTATCAATGGATGGGGATTAGCCGTGGGAGTACAAAGATCTGCCTGTTTGCCCAGAGTTAATGGCGGCTTGAATCCGGGTTTAATCCACAGGCGCAGTGGGCTCCTTAATAAATATGCCTATGGTTGGGTGGAAATAAACAGTTTCCTCTCTCTTGCTCTGTTTTTAAACATTACTGAAAATAACCTTGTGTATTTTCTTTTCTTTTTTGCGCGTGCAGAGGTGGACATCGAGGGCATGGAGTTCACCCCCGGCGAGGCGGACAGCGTCGACAGCATCAGCGACGGCGAGGAGGAGGACCACTACAGCCTCCAGAGCAGCTCCAGCGACACCAGCTACACAGCCACACATTCCCACAGACTGCAGCCGCACCACTGTTAAGACGCCGCGCGACCATCCGTCTCCCCACCAGCTTCCTCACCCGTGCTTTCCCTCCCCCTTCACCCTACCTTCCCTGACCATTTACTATCGCCAACGCCGCCCACTACCTACATCAGACCAGTCCACAACGGCGGTACACCCTGAACCAGTTCCTCCTTTCCTGGCCCTGGCTCTCCAGGAAGCACATGGGGCTGAAATGCCACTCAAGCCTTCCTGACACCCCCCCCCACACCCCCCCTCCCACACACCCCCGACCACTGACCCTACCTCGCCCTACTGTATCCTGCCTGACCCTGCCCCCCCGACATGCCCTGCCCTCCCACTGCCCTCACAACCCTTACCTAGTGTTGCCGCAGGCTCAGAGAGAGCAGAGCAGAGTTTGTGTTTTTTATCGGGGACTTCTGTGGTGTGGTGGACAGCTCTGACTTGTTAATCAGCATTTTGTAATATGTATGTATGTGTGTGTGTGTATGTGTATGTGTGTGTATATGTGTGTGCACAGGAGAGAAAAACCAAGCAAGGGAGTTTAATAGAGGTCAAAAACAAAATATAAGCTGCATGTCATCTTCATGTCGCAATAATACACAGACAAGGCTTTGCACTAAGTTTGTGCAGTTAAAGCCAAAGCACTTCTGTTTGTTCTGCAATATATGCAACATCAGGACCTCGAAAGTAATTTTCAACACACAGTATCTTCCTTTTACACAATGAGATTTACGGGAGTAGCTATTGCAGATTTCCTGCTTGTTTCTTGAAATGTTTGACTTCTGAAAAATGGTCAAAGCTTAAAAACGGATAGCTTCACATTTTGTGGAACGCACTTTTTTTTTTTTTTTTTTGCTGAGAGTTGGATGAGAAGATCGATATCGCTCTCATCTCTGTCCGTTCAGTATGAAGCTAGAGAAAGCAGAGAGTCGTAGCTTAGCATAAAGACCAGAAAGGAGGGGAAACAGCTAGCCTGCTCAAAGCTTAAGATCTGCTGCCAGCATGTTATATCTTGTTTGTTTAAACCGTATAAGACTCTTAAGTTGCTGTTTAACAGTGGGTTATGTGGAAGATCCTGGCCATGAAACAGTCAGACACATTGACCCCCCAGAAGAACTGCACCTTGACATTTTCAAGGCACGCTGTTTCCCTCCGTTTCCAGTCTTTATGCAAAGCTAAGACTAACTGCTGCACATTGTAGCTTCATATTTACCGCACAGACTTTAGCATGGCGTCAATCTTCTCATCTAACTCTTGACAAGGAAGCAAATAAGCCTATTTCCCAAAATGTAGAGTTATTCTGTTAATTATTCCACTTTCCACACACTGTCACTGCGTTGCAGAGCTTCCTGCAATTGCATCACCAAAGATAGGACCTTTTCAATAGCTACTTCTGTACATAATTACATCTTCATGACCAAATGTGGCCAAGTTTATGGCCAAAGACAAACTGAAAAAGTTGCAGAGCTGTAGCAGAGAAGAAAGAATGTAAATAGATGTACAGTTACTGTCCAAAACTTCATGTCTCCCTCTGGTTGGGTTGCCTAACCACTACTCCACACTACTGACCACTACACTATACCACCCTATGGTGTGGATGGACTACTATGTCAAGGAAAAAAAAAAAAAAGGAGCTGCCTCAAAACTAAAACTCTATTCCTTAAAGATTGAGCTAAATCTTGTGTCTCAGTAGCTAATTGATGTAGCAATTAATACAAGAGGTGGGTGCTTCCTCAGAGTGTTTAAATGACTCTGCTGGACCATGAGGTGTTACCGGAGACTTTTTCCTTTACCTTTTTACCCTGTAGGTGGCAATAAGTGGGCAATGACAGAGAGTGGACCTGCAGAAAAAGGAGCAGCCCTCCTTTTTTCTTTTCTTCACTAAGGGTTCCTTCTCTTTTCCCCAAAGCTACCATGTACCCACAATTTGAATTTCTCTCCAGCTCTGTTACTTTTTCAAGCAGTGTTTACGTATGTCTGTATTTTTTCTTGTTGTTGTTCTGATTAACAAGTCAAAGCTGCAAATGTGGAAAAAAATTAAAAGAAAAAAAAAGGGCCAGCTCTAATGATTTGTTCTCTGTAGAGGCGCTCATTTTAGCTAACTTAGAAAACTAATCACATTCAGTTCAGCTTTTCATTTCTATAACAAAACTAATGATCTTTTCTCTCTCTGCTAAATGTTACCAGTTTCTGGAGCTTCTGGGCACTGCTGAAGACCAATGTAGATGAAATTCTTCTGTAACTTGTCTATAACTTATGCACAATAGTCACTATTGACAGAGGAGGCGCTTCTGTTGCTCTCTGACCATTTTAATAATTGTTAGGCCTTAGTCTCTGGCAGTCTTTAGAGCTTGGCGTCCCAACACTTCAAAAACAAAAAGGGCCGATCCACCATGGCAGGTCTGACCAAAAAAATTTTTAAAAAACTACAAAAGACTCAAAAGAAAACAAAATAAACTTGTATACAAAAGAAGCTACTTGTCACTAAAAGTGATACTAGCCAGTGTAGTCTATATTTCTTGTATTAAATTTTGTATTATATTTTCCTAAATGTTTTCTTGTAATGAAAAGACAAAAAAGAGCGAGTATATCTATCTATATAAATATATATATATATATATATATATGTGTGTGAGAGAGAGAGAGAGAGACAGACAGACAGACAAACAGGAGGCCAGGCTTGTTGAAGGGAGAGTGGGGGCAGGGGAGCTGATACACTGGCCCCTCTCCCTTGGGTGACTCTCCTGCTGTCATTCTGTGCCTTGGTGAGCCTTTGACCTCCCTCCTCCTCCTCCTCCTCCTCCTCCTCCTTCTTCTCCTCCTCCTCCTCCTCTTTGTCCTCCTCCCACCTCCCTAACCTGCGGTCCCTGCTCAGGTCACAATCCCCTCCTCTTAATCTCATCCTCCCTCTTCTTCATCTCCTCTGGCAGGGCTGAAAGCTTTGATTTCAACCCTAACCATGCCAAGACACTTCCAAGAGCAAGGGGCGCGTGAAGAGAAGACCTCATTATGAGTAAAGGAGAAAAAAGAAAGAGAAAAGCCCCTTCGGTCTCTACTGAGAAGCCGCTGTTGTACTACACCCTGTCCAGGCACTCCGCACCCTCTTGACGCCCACCCATCTGCCAGTGCCGGCTCTGTCACGGAAAATTATAAAAAACAAACAAACAAAAAAAAAAAACCCACACACTGGTGAACTCCCATGGCAGCTTCCAGTCGCCCCGAACGGTCACCAACGGGGTTCAAAACTTTTGGGCTTGAAGCGTGTTTATCGTTTTTTTTTTTTTTTTTTTTTCTTTTTTTGTCATTTTACTATTATTGTATGTTGACTATGTGTGTGTTCAGTGGGAGTCACTGGGAGAGGAGTGATAAAAAGAATAATCCAATCGATGGCAGCTTAAGGTGTTATCCTCCACACTCCCAGTGGTCCATCCCAAAAATAGTGTTACCCATTGATCAGGGGACCTCTTGAGACACAGCAATATTACCATCTTGTGCTTTCTGAGGGAGGGTGGGTGGGCAGGGTTTTTAAGACAAGCAGGTGGTTTTGCTTTTGACTCTGTGGTGCATTATTATTATTATTATTTTTTTTTTTTTGGTGACCAACTCTTTATTTTGTTTTGATGAATTTTACCTCCTATCTGCACTCTCTCCATACACTGCAGGAGGGCAAAAAATTACTAGAAATGAAAAAGCTTTTTGGAAAAGCTGTTTTTTTTTTTTTTTTTTGTCATCGAGAGTTTACATTCATGTCAAAGGATTTGTACATGACTGTTTGTAGCAAAAATGTCCTTTTTCAGTTTGTTGGTCAAATGAACAACTGAGTAAACCATATTAATGGCATAAGATTATTCTCTTGCACAGAACCTCCCAGTAAGACAGATAAAGACAGAGTGAATGGGAAAAGCTGAGGGCCAGATATGAGATTATAATTTTTCAGTGACATCATTGACAAATGTACATAGCACACGCTCAGCACGTGTGGTTTATTAACAGTCGACTGGACGTGGCAACATTTTGTTTGAATGCTGGACGGGAAGTGTTTATGGAAATTCTTTTAATGATGTGCCTTGGAAAAAGTTATTTTCTTAAAAAAAAAAAAAGAAAAAAAAAGCAGAGATTGTACCAATTAAAGAAAACTGTTAAATCAGTCACAGTTGCTCTTATTTTCTAACCCCTTGGAGAGACAACAAGAGATGCTACCACTTCCTTTCTCATTGCAAAAAAGAAAAAAGAAGAAAAAAACGGTAAACATTTTTGTCAAGAAGATGAAGGGGCTCTTCACTGAACTCCTATTAAGATCAAAGTGTAATTTAAGAGTCATCAGAGAGACAGGGGCTCAGATTCAAAAAAAAACTTGACTTCAGAGCAAGTGCAGACAAGGTTTTGATATTTGCTTTCATGTTGCTGTTGCACAGAGATTTACTTCAGCGTGTTGGGTTGAGCACAAGAGTCGGCAGGCACGGACACAGAGAAGTGGGTGGCTGGGTGGGTTGTGGGATGAAATCAGGGTGAAGCACAGAGCTCCAGAGTTGGGGTGCTCCAATGATGGGGGGGGTCACACCAACATTAGGGCTCATCTTTTTTGTTCCTGCTGTAGAGGAGGGACAGCTGTGCTGGCTGGGATTTATTTGCAAGGAGGATGGTGGGGCGTTTGTTTGGGGCTGACATACTGTGCAGAGTAGGGAGAGTTCTGTGCCAGAGACCTGTGAATATGTTCCTTTTTAGCGGATGTGTAATATGCATTCAGAAGATGTTATATAAGTTCCTTTTTTTTTTGTTTTTTTTTTTTGTTTTGTGTGTGTGAGCGCATGTACACGAAAACCTGGTGCTGGCTACATTTAGCAAACACTTGAAGGTATTGTGTATTCTCTCATTGTAATATAATTAAAATGTTTTATACATAAAGCTGCCACCGCCTCGTTATTGCAGGTGAAATGATTTTTGATTCACTGTCGGGAACAACGCGCTGCTCAGTGAGGGGGAAACGGCACTGTGACAACGTTCAACTGCCAAAAAACAAAGCAGCAGGAATACGCAGATAAATATGTTCAAATGTTACGGGGCTTCCTGTTTGGTTTGTGCAGCTGTGAAACTGTGATCTGTCGTCTGGAATATTAACTCGTTTTTAAAGGTCAGAGTTCATCTTTTGGAACAGTTAGAGCAGAGAAAAGTTCACAGAAGAAATCAACACAGAGGCAAAATTTAAACAGTAATTTCTCAAATTTAAATAAAGCTCAATTTGACAAATTTAAAAAAACAACAACAACAACAACAACAACACTGGACTTGCAGAGTTTGGTTGAAAATGTCTTGGATGTGTTGCAAAACATCTTCAACTGAAATCCCAGTGGATTCTGTTTTTACATATTTTTGGACAGCTTACTACCTGGTTAAAATAAATCTACATGAGCCCAATATTACAAATACTTATTGCTAAATAATTCTTCAAAATACATCACATGAAGTATTTCTGAACTAGAATTCAAGTCTTGCAGCAGAAAAATCCAGTCATGTCCATCTAAAATGGGAATGCAATCTTTGAAATGTGCACCATAATCACTAGTTCAGCTTCCATTCAACACAGTTAAAGGCTAATCACAACATTGCACAATGAACCTGAGCATGAAGATATGAAAACTGCTCATTCTGTCTTTTCTTTTTATTATATTGTATTATATTAAGTCACTTTGGTATCTTGTGATTGTCAGCGCTCTGGTACAAGCTGTGCTGGCAGTGACTAACCAGCAGCACTTGCACTAAACTTTCTATTTATGTGTGTAGTATCACAGAATACATTCTGTGCTGACTATAGTAACACATACTGTGCGCTGTGTTTGAAAGTGTGACATTTACTACAGTTGCAAATCTAGAAAATGTCAAATAAGGGAGAAATCATGAGGAAAGGAACCATTCTACAAAACGGTTAACTGTTTAAATACATGCACATTAAAACAATAAATTATCCTCTTAGGCCTTTCTTGCTTCAGAAAAATTAAAACTATGCAGTTCCACAGCATTATTTGGTCTAATGTGAACTTTAGGCTCGACCAATACCTAAAGCAGAATAATGTTACTTGAACTGTCAAACTGTATGAACAATTTTTACATGAAAAGATAAGCATACATACTACTTATTAATATGTAATTATTCAACAGTCTTCTACAGTGGAGTAAAATATTAAATAAGTGACATCAAAACATTGGCCTAACTTTGCATTTACACCGATGTACTTAAAGCATTAAAAAGTGCTGCTGGTCTGAAAGTTCACACAAAGGCAATAGGTTTCATACGAACGCTCAAGAGCTGACAAGACCTGAGATGTAATGAAAGCTGAGAGAAACAGAGAAGGGAGAGCAGAGAGAGAGAGAGAGAGAGAGAGAGAGAGAGAGAGAGAGAGAGAGAGACAGAGAAAAATAAAAGTCGGTCTAAGAGCTTTTATTTCCGTCAGAGGTCGGTTAACATGATAGAAAAAATAGTGCAGAGAAAAAACAGCGATCAGCGAGATCCCAGCAAAACGTCAGTCCGGCTGAGATGATCGGGATGATCTAAAGGCATTTTGTGTTGAGGTCATGTCACCTGTACGGTACTTCACACACAGTCCTGTCAGATGAACTGCTGGGGTTTCTGTGGGGCAGCAGCAGCTGAAGCCAGGTTCTTGGCCGCTTCTTTGGCCTTCCCTGACGCGTCCTTCACTGTGTCCCTGAGCAGCCGCTGGGGCGTCTCTCCTGTGACACCAGAGACCGTGCAGACAGACAAGAAAGAAAATGAGGACAACAATATCTTTTACTGAGCCCCACAGAATTCGTAATATTGCTGGCTTCATCAAGCAGGTGAAGTGATGCCTTTTTGTGACTTAAACATAAATGTTCCTTTACGGCTTCGCTCGGACGTGACGGGATATTTGCGGAAAGAGCCGGTGCTTGTGTGAGATTTGGCCACTGGTGTGTGAGAGGAAGTGTATCACTGCTGGAAAGCAAGGGTGAGCTGAAAAGTATAGTGATGTGAACAAAGAAGTTTTGTGTTCTCTCACAGGCAGCATCAGTGTTTGATTTAAAAAAAAACAACATATTTTGACCACGTGCAGCATTCGCTCTCAACTTCCCCAGTGATTGTCTTCAAAGATTTTTCTCACCGCTTTTTAGCATTTATTAGAAAGAGAATTCAGCTCCCTGTTTTATAGCATCTGACAATGCAAACGTAAATAATATCAAGCTAGCACTCCTTTTTGCATTTTTCTGAATATTCATTTATTCATTGCTAAAAGAGGAGGGAGGAGTGATCTGATTATTTCTGAGGTTGTACAAGGGGTTTTCTAACCTCTTTTGCTTCAGACGCACTGTGAGGGGGAAATTATCTGATCTTGACATGAGAAGAACCTCTTATCTTAATCCTAATCTGTGAACCAAGTTTCTCTCTGTGTATTTAACCTCGTGCACCTTTGCTGCAGCCTTTAGGTTAAAGTTACTTTCAACTCAGACTCATGTCGTATTGAAAGTTTATGGCAATGTTATTTGGTTTGACTTACTGAGAGTCATGACAGACGTTATGTTTTAGAAAAGGTTTTGAACTGAGCACGCCCACATTTGTTTACTGTTATGAACTGCCTCACACTGCATTTAGTGCCATGGGCTGCGGAGTCTATTTGTGTCTGACCTCACTGTGAACCCTCAAGAATAAAGTGCCTCACGTGAGAACAACAACTCGAGTCACAATACAACAGAGTGGCTTCCCTAAACCGTGAGAGGGAAAGACGGAAAAAGAGCCGTGACGAGCCTTTTCCTTCACTTTCACACGCTTTTATACAAAGATATTGCAGAAGTGTTTTTCCTGGGAGGGCGGCTACAGGCTGGCAGAGGGAGAAATCTAATAACCTGATAAAAACTGGAGGGAGTGGATCATGGGAATTCATGGGGGCAACAAACAAAGCAAACAATTGCTTTAGCTGCTCACACAGTTGATTTCTACATCATATAATTTTTCAACCACCACAAATCTTTTGGTCATCATGCATCCTGTTTTAGTGGGAGGTGACGATCAGCCCTTTACTGAGATTACATTGACTGAGAGTTCAAGTACAGATTTCGCTTGTTACTGTCAGACATTTTTCCTTTCACTCACTCGAGTGGAGTTGTTTTCTTGTGTGTGTTTGCTTCACTGACTGTGTCACCCAATCTAGAGCAGCAGTTCCACCGACACTGAAAGTGAAAGGCAACAAGCTGTGAAGTCACTGCTCGTCTGAAAGCGCCTTACAAAACTGTTTGAATCTACCTGCAGGTACCTCCATGATATGAGAAAGATCCCAGCATTCTCATAGTCTATGTTCTGTTAAAGTGGCAGTGTTCAGGGTGTTTGTTTCCCTCTTACACTGTAGTCCTACACATGAGGTCGGACATGTCTCTCCACCTGTGCACTGTGGTATCTCAGGATACGTCTCATACACTACTGTTCTCATTTTGATACTAATTCCCCCATGATAACAGCATTTAACAACATTTGCCATAAACAGGTTTAAAGTTTATATCAATTGTGATATATTCTATCAGCTGGTCTAATTATAATATCAATGTGTTATTTTGGCATTAAAAAAAAAAAAAACAGACTTAAATTAAATCCAGCTCCATAAATATTAATACTAGTTTCTGTTACAGAGGGTTTCATGAAACTAGCTATCAAGATTTGTTAAGATTTACTTAGTTATAGGTTCACAGGTATAAAGCTTTGGAATTTGATGCTAAAGAATCCAAGGAAGTCTGACAAAAAATAAATGAAGTCAGAAAAATTCAAATTAAGGAGAGTTAAGACTAAATAAAAGATGATCAAAGTGTAAGCCCTGACATATGTCCAGTTTCATTTATATCATTTTACAACTTCGCTTCTTGATCATCAAGTTTGTCCAGATTCCCCTCTGTTCTATTCTCTTCCTGAGCTCCATTTTCTGCCCATGTTTGTCTTCTCTCTCAATGAGCTGCTAAAATCAGGAGCCGAAACATAAACACACCTTTCTTCTTCACCATGTTAACTTCCTGATAACATCAAGTTTTGATTGTGAGGAAAATCCGACTAATGAGCTGGATGCTGACACAAACTGTGACATGAACTTGAGAAGCCAGACAGTGATACTCAATATTATGAATTACTGTCTCTGTTTACAGTTCTCACCTATTGTAAGACACAATACAGTGATAATCAAAGTAATAAGTATTCTGTTATACACTGGATCAGGCACAAACTCTTCGTCAGCTGTGAGCCAGCGCGGTGATACTACCAAATGCTTTCGGAGCACATGACTGTTACCAGAAGAGATTGAAGTTTCTTTGATAAATTCTGGTTACACAGTATAATTAGACAATTGCGTACCATGCTTCTCTGAAAACATCACTAAACATATTTCATAGAATAGGCCTTTCTAGCAGCAATGCTAATTAACTGACACTTTACTCACAGCAAGAGATCAGAGGAAGAAATGCTATATCTGTGATAGGATTGTCCTCGACAGTGACACTACCCTGAAGGCAGAAAATAAAAAGTGTAAACTTTAAGGCAGCATCCAGGATTGCTGACAGAAGAGGTGCACAGACCCAGGTGCACTGCATGCAATCACAGCATCACTTAAACCCATCGCACACATGACACCGTTCTCTCCAACTTTCCCTGTCACTTCTCCATCAACACGACCAATCAGAGAAGAAACGTTTTGATTGGGTGCCCTAAAATATATGACGCAGATAAATAACTGCCGAGGTCCTTCAGAGCTTTTAAAGCAAAAACACTTGACATCCTGTCTGTTCTACGTTGCTTATCAGTGACTATACTGCCATACAATGGCAACACACAGTAAGTGATGCTCTTTTCGAGGTCAGGGGTTTGCCTCTACTGTATAACATTTGTTTCATGTAAATGTAATGTATGTAAGATAGCTGAAAAGTTTCAGCATTTCAGTTTTACATTCTGATACTACAGTACTCAAGTATGTCCTGGATTTTCACTGTATTCTACCTTTGAGGCGCCATGCTGGTGGGTGTGTGTAAAAATATAAATATGTAAAAAATATATTATTAACACGTTTATCAAGGTAATATGAGAGGAAAACATTCCAACTAGAGCAATTTTCAAAAAAGGTTCAGCTAGATTGTGACTAAAAAGATCAGTGTTTAGATATTGTGATTTACAGCCACCCACAAGTGATCTTCCTCACCCCTGTGGGCTTTAGTATTATTACTAGATGACCTGTTCAGTATTAGAGGTCATTTAAGGGAAGAAAAACTGTCATTCAGTTTTCACCTCATACAAAAATGACACTAAGGTCAGCTAAACTACGCAGCTTCTACTTCTATACCAAATATTAGACTAACCTTTGAGTCACTTTTCTCAGTTTTACAACTCAGACTTTCTGTTCTCTCACTTCTGTCTACTTATCTGCACACACACACAGACACACAGACACAACACACAATGGGAGATAGTCACTACCTCAGCTACAGAAACTACTGTGTGAGGCTCGTATATGGCATCATGTGACAACTCAGGGCAACGGCCTGGGATGGCAGATGGATGCCTCACTGCTAACATACTTACCACAACGCTCACCCTGATGCCAATCCCTGCAGTGCCATCAACAAAGGGGCAGTGGGACAGAATCACAACAATGGGAGAATGTGCTTTCAGACAACAGTATGCTGCATTAGCACAACATGCAGTTTGGAGCACAACACAGACCTCAGTGGTCAGGAGACACTGCCAAACAAGGCACTGCCTTTCTCATGTAATGGCTACCGCCTGAAAATACACCTTTCTGATGATTAAAACTGAAACTTTACTTTGCTGCATTGATTTGTCTTTTTTTTTGGTCAGCCAAAAAAAATTTAAAAAAAAAGATGACTTGATGAAGGCATGACAAATAAAAGATTATGACTGCAGCTGAAACGATTAGGAAGTATTTTACTACTTGAGTAATAATAAAAGTCACTTTATGCTAAGAATGCTAAAAATCCACTTCTTCCAGCTCTGGAAACACAAAGATTTTCTGATTCTCTTATTCTTCTATCATATCAAACTTAATATCTTTGTTTTTGGTCTATTGGTTGGACAAAAAGCAGTCAGAATATGTCAACTTGCTGTCAACTATTTTCTAACATTTAATAATATTTAATAATTTACACTGTTTGTCACCATAGTTGCCATGGTTTCATATCTCTCTGCAGTCACGTGGTATTTCCAAGCATCACCAAGCGGGACCTTTAGGCTACTTCTGGTGCTTAAACTAAACTGTTTGATGCAAGAATAATATAACTTGTAACATAAGTACTGCTACAAACTACCATGTGACACTCAAGTAGAATTTGCATGTATAAAAAAGGAAAATGTATTTTCTGTGTCAGGGTCTTGGGAAAGTAAACATTAATCTCTGAATCTCTGGGAGGAGCTACTTCAGTTTTTAGTTGTTTTTTTTCCTTTTACTCATGACAATACATAATGAGGATGTTTAGCCTGAGAGTAAAAATGTTTAATTCTCCTTTCCAGAAATGGCAACAGTTAAAAATAAACTTGTTTTGTTTCTCTCCTCTCTTTTCCTTGGAGTTTTCCCCTGTTTCTGCTGGTGAAGTGTACATACCCTGTAAGTTGGACAGTGCATATTCCAGTCCTTTCATGGCCTTCACCTGGTTGCTCTTGAACCGGGCCAATCCAAACTCCTAAGAAAAGACAGAACAGGAAATGGCTTTACATGGGGGAGATGTCTGAAAAACAACACTTAGCTAACAGTCTTCTGCCCCCCCCCCCCCCTCTCTCTCTCTCTCGAGGGATTTCAAAACAAGCCTGGCATCTTCCACATCTAATAATAACATCTTTAGGCTGACATATTTTTGGTGTTTTCTTTCCTCAAATCTCCCACTATTTCCATTTTTGCATTTGCACGCATGCTTCTACTCCTCTGCTGCCCATACTATGACCAATACACCAAACCTTGGAAGTGTTGGAGGTAGAACTCTATATTTCATTGTCAATGATAAAAACAAATGAATCTACTTAAACTGAAGCATAAATGTATGTATTTCTACACTCTACAGATGACCAGATAGGTGAGAGATTATAGACAACCAAGAGTGCGCTTTGCTACTATACTACTACAATTATAATTAATTCACATCTGACTTATGTTAAGAACATAATGACTCTTACTGAATGAAATCAGGGGAACATGATGAAAATTCAAACTCTTCTAATGAGTAGTGCACTCTGAATAACTTATGTTAATTTAAGCACCAATTTCTTTCTGCAGAAAGTGGTTAAATGTACCTGAATAGGTCTGGAGAAGCCATAGATGCCCGAGGATATCCACGCCTCCCGTTTAATCAGGGTAGTGGCTGGCTGCTCCACTGAGTCTTGGAAAATGCATCGTTCTTCAACTGACTAATACAGAAGAGAGAGAAAGTGAGAGCAGGTAAAGGACAAGGCTGTGGAACTGTTTTAAATTATAATGTAGCTCAGCAACATAAACAAATAGTTTTTTTATATAGTTTTGACATACAGATGCTTGGGAGCCTATTTATAGTGAAAACGCATCGTGGGAGCAAATACATTTTCTTGTGAGCTTCTTTGTTAGGTTTAGCTTTAATACACAAGTACATTTTAATCAATAACAGTAGCAAAAAAAGTATGTGAATCCTTTGCAATTGCCTGGTTTCTGCATTGTTTGGTCATAAAATGTGATCTGAGTTTCATCTAAGTCACAAACAGTGTCCCTAAGTGCCCCTTTTTGTGGGGCATTGTTGACATCAGCAGCTGCTTTTGTGAACAGTAAACTTGTGTGCTATTAGTTTAAATAGACTGTATTTGTAACTAATTGGAACTTGAAGGAAGATTTGACCACATTTTAGCTCCTTTTACGTATAAATGGAGATAATTCTAAAGGGTTTACTTTCTTTTTCTTGCCACTGTATATAAAACTAACCACAACCAATTACATGTAGGAATGTTTGGGAATTTTAGCCATGCCTGGATATAAATAAATTCTCGGTTGTTTGAAAATAATTTTGATCAACTTATTAATTTCAAAATCTGCAACCATGTTTATCTTTTTTTGTATTAAGAAATGTTGCCTTCTGTCTCAAAGCTGCAGGAGGCTGCAGGTTTAATGCCAGTTATGTTTCATACTGCAGTGGATTAAAAACCTGAGTAGCATCAATCCAACCTGCATTAGTGTGCAGTGTACAGCATTAAGAATTTGAAAAAGGAACAACTTAAAGCTGCATAATGTCAAGGTCCTTCTTCCTTGGGAGATTATTACATCTGAACTGTGTTCAAACGCTCGTCTTCTTTGAAGATCAGCCTGGTTGAATTAATATTTCCTCTTCGCTACCGGGGTAAGCAGCTACACCTGACTGCACAGTGCAGTCATGGCACAGAGTTCAGTCTATCCTGTCAGCATAGTGTGAGCGAGGATACTCTATAACAATATAATAGCAGAATAGATCTTTTTTTAAGTTAATGCAGTGATTTTGAATTGTAGAAAATAAGAATCGCTATTCTTGTGTGAATTCATTTTTTTCTTCCTCCTCTATCCACATCTAACATTGACTATGGCCTGAGTACACTCTTAACAATGAAGCAAGGTGAGAACTGTAGAGCTGGAAGAATATTTTTTCTCTCAAATACACTCACACAATGTGAAAAAAATATGCTTCCGTCATATGAAGATTAGAGCTTTATAAAACGTAGGCCTGCTACACAAGGTCAGTAAGACACAGATGAAAACTTGACTTCTATATCCATACTGACTGGGAAATAAACGCTTTTCAAAGACACATGGTGGGGAAGAAAGACAATCAGGTGCCTCACCATAAGAGTTGTGTGGTTGAGGTTCCAGGTGTAGGTGGTCAGGCTTCTGCTGACAGGGTCCACGATAGAGTCCTCGATGATATACACAGAGCGAGACATGCCGGTGGGGAAGAACCGCTCCGCCCAGCGAGGCAGCCGATTGGTCTTCGTAAGGAGGCGTCTGGAGAGGAGCTGGTGGTCTGCAGTCACCTCCCGGTACACAACGTCCTCTGTGAGAACATGGGTGCTGGTTGATACAAAAAAAAAAAAAAAGAAATAACACACAGCCATGTCAGTCAGATGGTTACAATTTTCAGTTTTCATAATATCTCTGTAGTTCTTTTTAAAAACAGTGGTCCACTTAAAAAAAACACTTTAAAGACAAACACAAACAAAAAAAGCACTGTCATGTGTGTGAGACATTACAGAACAAAGATTTCTAAGGTTTCTGACGCTGGTAGGTCAAGTCATAATGCAAACAGACCCGTGCAACTAAGAATATGCTAACCATGGTTTTACTTCCCTGATGCGTTTTCTCAGTTCTCCATCCTAATGCAAAGCAATTTATATTCAATACATTTTTCTGGTTCTTCCACTTGTACAGTAGGTCTTCAAACACTCCAATAACTTTACTTCCTCTGAAAGGCCCTCTATTGAATTGAGATTTAGAGAAATGTAAAAGGTTTTCATTCTGATTTTTCATCAGAATTGCATAGTGAAAATGTTATTTTGACAGCAATGTAAACACTGTAATAACTTCTAATCATGTTTCAAAGTTGGTTGTAAATGACTTTAACTTGTGAAATATCATATTTCAGGCATCTACTACAAACAAACAAATTCTACTGTTGTTTGCATTGTTTTTTTCTTGTTACTTCTATCTAAATAAAAGTGATCAAGTACTGTATATCGTAGATTCTTGTTTTAATTTCAGGCGTGCATCCGAAAAAAGGTAGACTATCTTGAGGGGTGTAAACACTTTTGACACCCACCACATGTTTTACAATGAGCATCTATGTTAAAATACTGACCCTGATAACATTACCATACCTGAATGGGTTAGGGTACCTCTGCCAGAAAGCAGAGACAACATGGTCCCACGTGCTCCTGATGTCTGCGTTATTACAGAAATACTTGACCATTCTTCTCTCGCTGATGTGCAGGATGGCCTGAATCCCGAACCCTGAGGTCCCTTGCTGTGACTACACAAAACAATGAAGACTTGGGTGCTGACTCCATCCAAAGTCTGACACAGTCCTGCAAAAGTGAAGACAACTATAAGCAAGAAGCACAATAATACGTTCTTACAAATGATATGTGTATGTACTATACACTGCAGTTGAACTGAGTTTTTATGTAATAACACTGACAAGTAATTATTGATACTGTATATCTTGAGAGTCACATAAATTTGTTGACTTAATATTCGATTATATCAACCTTCAGAGATGTTGCCATAGAAGTTGGTCCTCCTTTAGTCCCGTGCATGTACAAACTTAAGACTTCATCAAAGTATTTTTACTGTGGAATGTAATTGCTCTTAATGTGTTTCATGGGTTTGTCTCATTTAATGAAAGGGGTTCTGTGTTAAAGTATCCTTTTGGCCTAATTACAGTAATATGTGAACATCCTCAGCGCCAGAGATGTTTTATTCTTCACAACAAACCAATTAGACACATCCAAGTCGTACTTCTTCCAACAGCGCAACAGTAACTGACACAAATGTTATCTGATTATTGTTGGTACTTACCCAGTTACACATGTCACCTTGACGTATGCCTTTACAGTGTGCTATAGCTATATAGCACACAGCTATATAGCCATAGCTGAGCTCTTAACTCGCTGGCTAGCGTTACTGCTAGCAATATGCTAGTTATCTGGACAGCTAACAACTAGCTATTAGCTTCCAAGAAATAATTTAGTGTAGTGTGGAGTAGAGGAGAGTTTGGCATCTAACGGTGACAGTGAGACTGAGTAACAACAGGTATATATTTAGTTATTTTACAGGTCATTCATGATTGACAGCTAGCTTAAACGTAAGAATACTTCAATCTAGGTTTATTAAGTTTGGCTACCTAGTCTTAATGCTAAGTGTTCTGAAGTGTCAAACGCTGTAGGTAATAAGGAAATAAGAGAGGTCTTACCTGAAGTCACTGCTAAGGAAGTATTAGGCTGATAAATGTGCTGTCTGTTGTGCCCTTAGCCGACAATTTAACTAACGTTTGCTAATCACGTCCATTGTGCTACATGTGACAGACAGGACATCCAATAGTGGACCGAAGTCAGGCTGGTTTACAATGGCACCACTTCCGGTTAACATTTCACAGTAAAATCTTTATTGACAAATAGATGAGTTCCGACTTCTTATAAATAAAAAAGTAAGACAAAAGAAAAAAAGTACAAGTAAAAATGTCATAGTCGACACTGCTCTTGCTTGCATCCGTGAAGTTTGAAGTCGGTTTGATGAGCGGTTGTAGAGAAAATCAATCGCCAGACAGACAGACAGACAGACAGACAGACAGACATTCCTGTATTTATTTTTAGCAGGATGAAAAAATGATCAGTGGAAAGTGGTATCAGAGTAAGGGGGCTTCGGTAAGGCAAAGGGGAAAATCAATCACTTGTCCTGGTGGGATTATAAATAGGCCCCATGATATCCAAAAGGTAATTTTTGACAGTCAGATAACCAATAAACATTTATTCCTTGTTTTAAAATGCCAGTGCACCAACAGAAATACACTGTGCCTGAAAACCCAGGTTAATTGTGCAATTTCTTTTTTAAATGAACAACATATTCAAGTTCTGAACTGAACCTGAGCTAAAATGGATATGCCTTGGTTTCTCCGTGGATGTCATTGAGTGTTTGAAATGAATTGTGACATCATCTATGACATCATCAGTGACGTCATGTGAGCCTCGCTGAGATTGTAAATAAACCCCAATAGAGTGCAGGAGGTCATTTTGTGACAATGCCGTGCCACGGTCACAGATACGCGTATCGCCCCGTTCGCAGGCGCAGGAGACCTGCAAAGTCCACTGCTGTCCGCAGACGCAGGCGAACTGCCAGGCGCAGACGCTAGTCAACCAAGTAAACATAAACTGTATGCATTAAATTGGCAGTGCACTTAATTAATAATCTTAATTAAAAAACAGATAAGAGGCAGAACAGCTCAGTAAGTTTCACTGCATTTTCTTTTTATATTAACAATCCAGAAGCTTTGTTTTGGACTTGCTTAAAGTTAGGAAGAGGAACATCTTAACTTTTAGGCCCGTCTTTTGGGCAAGCTCTAAAAACACTGGCTCACCCCCGTCTCATAAAGTGAATCAGTTGTGTCTTTTATTAGGCCCTCTTTGCCTGGTTAATATGCCCACACCTCTCAAACTCACACACCCAGTTTGCAACAGGTTTTCTATAAGAAATTATCCAAGCCCAACCAACCACCTCCTTCAGAGCTACAGATAACAGTACGGGACTGATTTCACATGTCGGGGAGTACTAACTAAGACTAATGAACTGAGTTTGCCATGGGACCCTTACAAGGGCTTGTTGCCATCTAGTGGATACAACTGGACTTCAATATCAAAGTAACATGAATATTTAATTGTTGACAAAAAGGTTTTTCTAATAAAACCAGTCATCATACTGATTATTGGTGCAGTGTGGTTCACATCTGTAAAATATTATTTCATGAATATGTCACGAATCAAAAACGCTATCTTAACCTTCCAAGATGTCTGAAACCACTGTCTGGAGCTTACAAGCTGTGAACAAACCTGACTATCATACAGTCAGAGACATCACTGCTTTCCCGTCACTTTCAGCATGGTTGAATTCGTTTTGTAACTGCATCATAAATAGGGGAATTAATAAATATCGTGTCATACATCGTCCCGTCCTCTTGGTGTCGCTCTAGAATCTGTCGAACTGTTCAGTCTGGGTTACATTTCCTCTTCTTGTTCTTCTTCGCCTGACTGCAAAGGGAAGTGTCCTCCATGGTGTCATTGTAGGTCTGTTGAGGTTGAACATCCGAAAATTAGCAATGTCTGGGTACACACCGGACGAGAAGCTCCGCGTCGAGCAGATTACAAAGCTCCGCAGGCAGTGGCTGAAGGACCAGGAGCTCAGCCCGAGGGAACCCGTTGTACAAGCCAAACCTTCCGGCGCCGTCAGCAGGTTCTGGACTGGCTTTCTGGAGCCCAAGAGCCTGTGGAGGCTTTACGTGAGTCCTCATGAACAGCTAACATCAGCTAACAACAGCTAACGCTAGCCAGCAAAACACACACCTGTGATAACACATTTAACATGCAAAATATTAGGAATCAAACTCAAAAATTTTCATAGTGTAGCTGCAAGTGTTATTGAAGGTAACGTTAGCATATTGACAGCTACAGTACTTGTTTACCCGCCTCCAACGTAGTGAAGCGTCTGAGGTTAACTTTGTTCACTTTGTGTGTATGTGTGGCTGTATAAAGATACTGACATTAATCCCTCTTTCAAAATAATAAATTGTGCTTAGATTAAATCGAAAATTTTGACCGTTTATTGTGGAAAGTGTCTTCACGGCGTCATGTTCTGCAGTTGTTTTTCATACAAAGTGAAAATGAGCGAGTACTCAGCAGGGCTAATGCAGATGCTTAAACCTGCCTGTTGCTTTTATCAGTCTCCTTCTCTTTGATGGTTTTCGTACTGGCAAACCGTAATGGTGACCTTTGTTTCAGATCATGCATATGAAAGTGAAAAAAATGGGTAGATATACTCTTTTCCCACGGTGACGAATCAAAAATGTCTGCTTTTCAAAATCCTTTTAAATATGGTCATTTGTTGCATTAACTCTACCAGTCCTACTTTAACTTACTTGACTGTACATTTTAGACTTCTCTGAGTTGTTTGGGGCCACTTTATGTTTCAGCAACTATTGGAACTTTTGTTCCAATTTAGTCAATTTTTTTTCTAACACTTTATTTATGGGTAAATATTTTATAGCTAAATACTTACATGCATAAATATTTTACTTAGAATGAGAGAACAAGCTCCCAATTAACGTGTGTATTATCTGTTTGGAGCAACCAGTATAAACACCATGATTCATTGTGTACTTCTCTTTGTTCATGTTTATTTGTTTATCTCCTTACAGACCTACAAAGCGTATAGAGGTGGAGTTTTCACATTAACACGGCTGTTGATACCTGCTTGGGTTGTTCACTACTATGTGAAGTACCACGTTGCTGTAAGTAAACTGAAATGTTTAACATTATTTGTGATGTTGTATTTCATTATGAATTGGGGTCATAGAATTATCGATGTGTATGCCCTTTATGAGTATTTCTCTTAGGCACGTGCACATGTAAGTTCCTGGATAATTAGAGGAAGTTAATAAGTTTTCTAAAATGTTATTTCATTGTTAGGTACCATAGGAGGGTAACTTGCAAAGAGAGCACGAGCACTTCAGACTGACGGATATGCAGCATTAACTTTATTGTTCACATGTTCACTATAATGTCACTGAATTCATGCAGGTGTCAGCTTTAGTTTATAAATGGTTTGATCAGTAAGCATACTAAATAACAATGTCATTGTCCCCCACAGAAAAGGCCATATGGTATTGTGGATTTAAAACCCAAGCTGTTTCCAGTAAGTATGACTCATCTATTGATTCTTACATTGTGCCTATGTTTATCCTCTAATCATTATCATCCTTCTTTTTATTTTGTCTATGTAAGTCAGCATAAGAGCTTGCTTTACAAGTCATAGCTAGATCTGATTGTCCTACAGTCTTATCCCATGGAAGCAGACCTCTGCCTGAGATGTTCTGACATAAGATCTGCTCTCTGAGATGTCTTGATTCAGGAAAATAGTTTTTTTTTTCTTAATGTTTTTGTACTCGATTTTGTGTTTAGGGTGACACCATTCTGGAGACAGGCGAAGTTGTTCCAGATCTCCCTGAGACCCATGGTCATCACTGAAGTTGAAATATTTCAATAGTTTCCTTGAGTTTCTGTTGTAAAAACTGTGTATATGCCAATAAAATATAACATCGTCACATCGTTTATGAGTATGAATCAAATTTAACAAAATAATGTAAATGGTGACATATTACAGTGGAGTTTATTAATGGATGTTTTGATGCTTTCACAGGCTGAAGTGTTTCTTAGAAAAGTATTTGCTACTTCATTGCCAGATCTGGTCAGTTTAGAGAAAAAACTTGGGTTTAGTAGGGCAGCAGTTAGCTGTAAATCACATTCTTATAAGCCATTTATGCACTTGTTTGATGCATTTCCTTTTGAATATTGGGGTGGGATGTAATGCAATCATAAAGCACATAAATGATAGAAATTTGGTTTTCAGTGTTTTCCGGAAGAGCTATATATGTGAAATTGTTAAAAAAAATTTTTGCTGGCTTTGAATTTTAGCTTCATATCAAATCTGGTACACTGTAAAGTAGCCACTGAAAATGCACTGGATTTCCACGAAGCGAGGACTGCGCAATACTCAAGAACAACAAGAACTGTTGTTAAAATGTGTTGAATTCTGACTTTTAAATTCAGTGGCATTTACTTTTACTCTAATATGACTCCAGTGACGTTTCATACATGCTTCATATTGTTACTGAACTGGATTGGCAACACTCGGTTGGCAGTTTATTAGGTACACATAGCCAAAACTCATGCTGTCTATTACACCATTAAATCCTGCTATGAATCCTCCATTTCTTTACAGATTTAATGTTCTGTTTGTGTTGAAATTCATTTAGAGAGGTGTCAATTCACCTTTATGGTTTGTATTGTGTTATAGGGACAGGTGTTTCTATTATTTTGTCTATCCTATTTGTATCACTGAGGGTAGGCAAAATAACAGAAACAGCTTTCTGTATAATACAATAAAGTTTAATGCCATTACTATCTACATCCTCCAAAGTGACCTTCCGTTTGAAATAACACCTCTCTGAAACAGTTTCAACACAAACTGAACATTATAACTGCCATAAATGTAAGATTCAGGACTGTTGTATAGCCTGCATTCGTTTTAGATAGGTGCACTCAATAAACTGTCAATTGAGTGTATAGTAAGTGGTATATAAAATAAAAAAGGGTCCTACTACCAACCGGAATGTGTGCTTATACAGGATACAGTAGAGCAAAAAGATTGCAAAACTGCTATTATCAATAAAAAAATCTAATAGAAAATTATTAAAATATTATTATTATGATTTGATTTTGTGTATAAATCAAATGTTTGGTATTTTTTCAAAATGCGAAGGTGTCGCTTTTATTCTGAAGGGCGGAAATGGCTAGTTGAATTAAAAAAATATACATGAACTCTAGGTAATGATATGAAGGGAGTGTTACGAAGCCAGGCTGTCGAAGGCTTGTAAACAGTTGTACACGACTGACAATCACGTAGAAATGGATGGATTTCTACGAAACGGGGAGAGCTAATTAACTGTCAACCATATACGTGTTCGAGGACGGCAGAGGTAAATATTACACAACTTTTTTCAAACGTCCTAGCTAACTAGCTAGATAGCATCTCAGCATACTTAGCTATCTTGCTAACTTTAGCTAACCAAGTCAATCTGTTCGTAAACTAGAGTCTGCAGTTTAGATCGTCGGTGGCGTCAGTGTATTTCTAACAAAATAGTTTAGGATCTTTGAAATAATGTCAGCACTTAAACCGAAGTATTTCCAACTGTTTAGCGGCACTACTCTCGCATGTGAGAGAAGCCCACAAAAGGCGAGGCTTGGTACGGTTATAGCATATCCTGCTAAGCTAACAAACCGAAAACACCAACACAATCGAAGGTGGGGAAAGACAAAAACAAGCGTAGATTTAATATGAATTTTATCCCACTGTGTTCTTTTTAATGGTGAAATGTGTATCAAGGTTAGCGATAGACGATGGACCATTTACAGGGTCTGATATGTACAGCACAAGTCGACCTAATATAGGACGTTCATAACAGTTGTGCATTACGAACTGTCATACCATTACGCTGTCGCTCTCCATGTTCTCGTTCATGCTCTCATTTCGGTTATTTAAACTGCTTTGTATCCTTAATAATATTGATTAGCTATAACAAGATCCTTTGTCGTTATTCCTAAAGACTTCAATGTTTTAATGGCAATTTCTTTTATATGTATTTGTGCTGAGTATGAATGCGTTTTGAGTGTGAGTGAGGTGATTAGTGTGCCCATGGATTCCAGTTTTTCTTCACATTTGGAGGGATATATGCTATAACGAAATAAACTGGCATTAAACAAATAAAAAAACAACAACATTCCCGCACATAAGTATCTTGTGTGAAAAAGATTTTTGTGAAAAATAATATTTCATTGTTTTCATATAAAAAAGGCAGAAATTCTACGTAATGACAAGAAAGATTAAGTCTATCTGGATGATATAATGCCAGTCAAAAACACCAGGACATTAATCCTCCACCATGATATGTACTCATTTGCTATTTCCTTAGGTTCACAGGTACAGTCTATTGCAATTCAATACAACAGCCTACAGCTCTACCTTTCACAGAGCTAATGAAATTCAGTTTTTTTTGCTAACATTGTTGGAAATTATATTGACTGATGTTTTCTACTTTTTTCGCCCTATGGATATAAATTAGAGGGCAGAGTATTAGTGACACATCAATATAATGCAGTCCAGTGCAACACCACTACTAACTATGACCTCTGACAATGACAATTTCAACAACTGAACACTACAAGCTTCCTAAATGTGGAATTTTTGGCACAGCCATTGCATTTGATTGCAGTAAATTGTACAGCTGTACCCAATAAAGTGGCCATGGAGGATATGCTTGAAACTGATGCATTCACTGTGTAGGTGCACCTGACCTGTGTCCGGTTTAGTGCACAGGTCAGGTGCTACAAGTTCATAGCTGATAAATAAGGCAATTGAATTGTCTGCACATGGAAACTTGATCAGTAAATAAATGTGCAATTTAATATCACACATCGAGTGATGTCTTCTGTAATAGTCACAGTATACAGACTTCTAGGTTGCCTAGGGTGCATATAAATTATTTGAAAAGTGTTTTGTGCTTTAGCAGGGTTATTTGTAAAATTAAGCTACTTAAGTTTAAGGTTTTATTCTTACCTGCAGCTCCTCTGTAGAGCTTGCCAGGTTACTCTACAGCTGCCTTACCATTCTTATGAGCAAATGTGAGAATTTCCAATGTGAAAATTATTTTAACCTTTTTTTTTTTCTTTTTTTTTAATTATGTCAGATCATGTCAGCAATCAAGATTGCCCTGCAGCAGAGCCAGAAGAGTGGCAAAAGGAAAACCTGTGAGGAAATGTCTGCAGAGGTGTCGCCAGACTCCAAGTGTCCCATCTGTTTGGACACATTTAACAACATTTCGTACCTGGACCTCTGTCTGCACAAATTCTGTTTCCGTTGTATTCATGAGTGGTCCAAGAACAAAGCTGAATGCCCTTTATGCAAACAGCCATTTAATTCTATCTATCACAGTATAAAATCAGAACAAGACTTTAAGAAGTATGACTTGCAGCCAATAAATAATGGCTCCTTTGGGACTTTTGGGGGAGTGCGGTTTAGATACCGCACAACTCTTACCGGAGTCCATCGACAGATGCGTGGAAGGACCTCTCCACCTCCAGACAATGGAGTAATGTTTGAAGCCTCAACAAACACTCAACAACAGCGGCAGGACCGTTACATCCGGCGCATGATGATGAGGCTGGCAGCCAAGAGGAGAGCTGCAAGTGAAGGCAGGGCAGTGAACAGTGTCAGAGAGTTGGAAATGATAAACTTCAGGAGGGAACTGTACCGACAAGGGGTAAGGGTTCGGACTGTGCGGGATGGTGGTCGCTCGCGAGATACCTCAGCTGAATTCTACCGAAGAAATCCTGCCTGCCTACATAGACTGGTCCCCTGGCTAAAAAGAGAACTCCTTGTGCTGTATGGGTCCCATGGCTCTTTGGTCAACATAGTTCAGCACATCATCATGTCACGCTTGACACGTTATGACATGGAGGATACATCTATTCAGGAAGAGCTCCGGCCTTTCATCCAAGGGCGCACGGAGCACTTTCTACATGAGTTCCTCAGCTTCGCAAAGTCCCCCTTCAATATGGAGGCGTATGACCAGCATGCTGTGTACGACTGCCCGGCCCCTTCCTCGAATGAAGACAGCAGCTCCAACTCATCTGTAATAGCTATTTCAGAGGATGAGGAAAACTCTGTGGAGATGGACCCCCCACAAGACGCCATGTCTTCTCTGAGTCAATCCGTGTGGGATGATGAGACGCCTGGGCCATCGTATTCTACGACAGCAGAGCAGAGCAGGGCAGAGCATCTGTCAGTCCTCGACTCAGACTCAGACAGCAGCTTAGAGGAGGAGACACAAGAGTTTGGGGCTTCTCCACAGCAAATGAGTCCCCATATCCAAACAAACATGACTCAGGGTGAAGTTAACAATGAAGAGGGTTTGTCTTCTGACAGCGAAGACTGTGTCATTGTAGGCTTTGTCAAGCCAACAGCAGAGAGGACTCCTGAGCTGGTTCAGCTCTCCTCTGACTCTGATGAGTCTGGCAGTGAAGATACTAAGGAAGTGCCTCTTTTACCTCAACACATCCGCTTCTGCAGTCTCAGTCCTCCAGCTTCACAGAGCAGCGATCCAAGTGGTGCTGGACGGTCAGAAAATGTTGAAACAGACCAGTATTATCGACTGGATTCAAATGAAAGACATAGCTCTTCAACAACTGGCAGACACAAGACATCCAGTAAGTCAGACAGAAAAGACACAGATCGAGGTTTTGATGGTAATGAGAGATCTAGGGAGAGGCACCGGTCAAAGGACAGAGACCATAGGAGAAGAAGGAGGACAAGAAGTAGAGAGCGCAGGCACTCTAGCAGGAGCCCAGCAATCTCCCAGAGCAGTGTCAGAACCCTATCCAGGGAAAGAGATTATTCTAACTTCAGTGGCAGAGACTTGTACTCTAAATGTGACAGTAATTATAAAAGGAGGGACAGCTATCAGAGCTACCAGTCATATAGCCATTACAGCCAAGAGAGAAATGACAGTGGGATGCATTATACAGAGAGGCGGTCCTACTATTACAGTAGTCGCAAGTACTCAGATAGGCACTCGTACTCTCGTTCAAGGAGCCGCAGCAGAGACTCACGGAGACGGGACAAGAGGTATTCTCGATCTTTCTCCAGCAGCCGCTCCCCTTCAGCGAAAAGGAGATCCCACGATGACAAGCCTGGTGGAAAGAGGAAATACAAAACAAGACATTTGGAGGAACCGTCCAAAAACATACTTTCCAAATCACATGAAGGTGATTCCTCCACATTATTAACAAAACACAAGAAAAACAGCAAAGAGAAGTATCGCAAAAAATCCAAAGAGAGGTCAAGAAAGAGTCTCAGTGTGGAGCTCATCAATGAGGAAAACTCATGTGAACGAAGCAAACGCCACCATAAGAAAAAGAAGAAACACAAGAAGAAAAGCAAAAGGCACAAGAGTAATGAGCGCACAGAGAAGCGCTCACCCACCGTCATCACCATTGACAGTGACAGTGATTCTTTTGCTAATGACGGTGTTGCCAAGGCCAGCAGCAATAATAAGGACAATCCTATTGACAATACCACAGATGACCTAGTAGACCCTGCCGCTCTCCCCTCTCTGCTGTAGTTATGGAAGTCCAGAGACCTTAAAGGATATGGTGAATACACATATCCCTTAAATACCACAATTGTTTTCTACAATGACTGCTCATTGGACTCTAGCATATGTGACAGAGATTTCTGTGTTGAACTGGAGAGTGATGATCATTGGATAAAAGACTTAGAAATTTTAGTTTTTGATTGTGTTAACTAACACCTAAAACAATGCTATTTTAAGTGCAACGTGCCACTATTAAACAGGGCAGAAACGAGTAATATTGGGAGTCTCACATTTTTTCAACTGTCAATTCTTACTCTGGAAATTCATTTTCTTTAATGGATTTATTTTATTTTCAAAGTGCTCTCAGGGATCATGTTGAGTACAGTTATTTTATTTTTGGTATCATAATTCAGCTATATTCTTGAGACAAAACCATTTCTACCTGCTGCTCATGGAGTAGAACTTAATATCTACAGAGTCTTTTGTATTGAATTTATTTAAAAATAAACTGTATTGATCAACAGTGTGCGATTTTGTTAATGTTGGTTTTGTGTTTATTTCAGGTATGACAGAATAAGTCAAAGTATTGTCAGTCCTATAAATTATAGTTAGTAGATTTGTTACATAACAGTGTAAACATGCTTAAATTGACTGTTATTCATATGATAATTGGAGAATTGCCATTATAGCTGAGTTATATTGTTTCCACTGTGCCCGCAGCTCGAGATAAACTGACATTTTGACACTAAAACCTAGGAAAATACATTATATTCCAATTTGAGGTGTAAAAGTAAGTTGATTAAATAATTAGCAAATTAAATGGCAACTATTTTGATGATGAGAAAATTGTTTTTCAGCAGCTATGTTATACATGATACTGAACTGAATATCTTTGGGCTTTCGACTGTTGGTCAGGTAAGACATTTTAGGTTGTCATCTTGGGCAGAGTAATTTATATAAGGGCCTGATCAATAGATTAATTGATAAAGAAAACATCATTAGCTGCAGCCCTAATTGTTATAAAAGGAGACTAAGATCCTGAGTGACAAATGTGTCATGGCAGAAATTTTGGCAACACTGAGAAGAGGATGATGATATCCAACCCCCTTTACTTTATTGTGTCTTATGTTACAACTTAAAACGAGTAAAGCTGTAAAACAAGTTGGAGCTAGGATATGAAAGAAGGAAGTAAGTAAAATATACAGTACATTTCTCTGAATAGATTTATCAACAGAAGAAGTCATAAAATTGCATGCAAGCTCAGCAAACTCCAGTTTCCTGTCTGGTTCTTGTACCTCTTAAGATAGGCCAACAGCCATAGAATATAATTTCATTAGACAAACCCTTTTGTTCTCCCTTCTGTTAATTCTACTGATATATAAAGATTTGCCAAGCGCAAGGCTGATTACCTTCTTCTTCGGTGGAGGAGTGTTGGATATTAAACTAGTTCTTATTTTTTGTAATTAATTTTTAAAAATAAATTTTCTGTCATGGCCACATTCATAAAATACATAAAATGACTACTGTTTTGCATGGTTTAGTCTATTACTACAAAACACACACCATTCTTCAGTCAGGGCTGCAGACCATTTCAAAAGATACTTGTTTTTTGATGTTTAATGTGTTTTTTCTATTTTCCAGCATCTATGTATTACAGAAGTTGCTTCCTGCAAGGTAAATAAAAAGCTAAATAAATAGTATAGTTTGCTTTGTGAAACGGTCAGCAGTGAAATAAACAAGATAATTAACCTAAAACAACTAGTAAATATAGGTTAGCTCTAAGCTTTTATTTTGAAAGCAAACAAATTAAACAGGAAGACATGTTTGATGTCCGTTGGTCTGGCGGATGTTGTGAACGGTGGTAGCTATAAAGCGTCTTCTACAGGACTTGGTAATATCTTCACTTTTACAGGCAAGAATACAGTCGACATGGCTTCCACGGTGCCAATTAAGGTAATAAACTAAACCATGATGTTATGTTTTAAACCTTACTCGTTGCACATTGTGTGTTTGAACACGCTGACAGAGGGAAATCAATGAGAAAGCATAGCTAGGTAATTTCACGCCAGATGTGCAGCTGTGACAAACGTAAAGTGCGGGAAAAAGCTCTTAGATGTTAGCATCGTTTTAGCGAAGCTGTACTTACAGTCTGCAGGCTTTAAAGTAAATGGCGATAGCTGGAAACAGACAAGCTAACATTGGCAGGCTAACTGGAAGGCTTCTCTCTCTGTATGTGTGTGTGTGTGGTGTGGTACTGTTTAAACAGCTAAAGGTGAACAATTTCTGGTTCTGTTGCTGTGAAACGTGTTCACCCTGTAGCTTTGACCCACTGCATCGTGACAGATATCAGCATGCTGTCAAACACTGGTGAAAGAAGTATCCAAGTCCTTAAGTTAAGGAGAAGTAGCAAAGACACACTGAAAACTTTATAGAACTACAAGTATTATCAGCAAAATGTGCTTAGCTGCAATTGAAAATGATCATTTTTCAAGCAGATTGGCCTTTGTCCATGTTATATTGTCATTCACTCAGTTGCCAGTTTATTAGGTACAACCACTTGAAACAAATGCAGTGTTCCTCTTGTTTTCCTAAACCTCACTAACACTCCAAGAGTTCAGGTAGGTTGATAATGAAAATAATCGTTTGGTGTAACCCTACAATATTTGCCTCTGAAATGTAGTGATGCTTAAGTATATGTACAGTACTTGATTAAATAGACTTACCTGCTGTTGACTACAAACACAGCAAACACAGGCAGCTTTCTCCCTTAGAGGCAAATAACAGCAACAAGTCTTGTCATCAGAGGAGTTTGCTAATTGGAAATTAAATAGTGACTGATTTGAATGTGTGCCCATATAGTTTGAAACACTACTTTTTTTTTTTCTTTTTTTTTTGTTGCTATTTTGTGTTTTCATCCTTGCCCTAATTTCCCTATTGTGTAAAACACATTATGAAAAGTTTTGTCAGGTAAAATGTATTGGTCAGATATTATTTCTTAGTCTGTTGATGACATTTTTCATTTTTTTTTTTTGTCTAGATTGGAATTATTGGTGGTTCAGGCCTTGATGATCCAGATATCTTGGAGGGAAGGACTGAACGTTATGTTGATACACCATACGGAAAGGTAAGTGAATTTGTGGACCAAAGTTTCTTTAAAACGGCTCAATTAATGGAGCAGCTCTACTGGCATTTAAGCCAGTAATATAGTTCCTTACAGCACTGTTTTATGTATAATTTGATTGTCCTGCTATTCTTGAACAGCCATCTGATGCCCTGATACTGGGGAAAATAAAAAACGTGGAATGTGTGCTCCTTGCAAGGTAAGAAAGGTTGTTGGGATTACTTTACTTTAAGATGGGAATTGTTTTCCCTGTTAGCACCATCTAGTGGAAAAATTTTGCACTTATTAAATATACTGGAGAATATGCTCTGTTTGCATCTCACAGAACATTTCAATCCATTTTAAAATGAGGTTCATGTTTGTGTCCATATATTTTTAATAATCAGTAGATACATTTTTAGAATTCTGTAGTTTAATTGTCAGTGTAAACCATGTATATCTTGATTACTGCTTTTTCTACTCCTTAGGCATGGGAGACAACACACCATAATGCCATCCAATGTAAATTACCAGGCCAATATTTGGGCACTGAGAGAAGAGGGCTGTACACATCTGTTGGTTACCACGGCTTGTGGCTCACTCCGGGAAGAGATTCAGCCAGGAGACATTGTCATCATAGATCAATTCATTGACAGGTGAGTGTGACATGACCACATTAGCAGGTTATTGTTCAGATGTTTGTTTTTTCTTCCATTTTCTCCCAGGACTAAGATACTCTAAACAGGATAGATATGTTGGCCAAAAGGAAAAGGAATAGGAAGAGGAAAGAAAAGAATAGAATGAGGTTCACAGGGGATTTGGACAGTTCTTTTATTTTATTATTATACAAAAAAAGTCTTTGTTTTCAAAATGTCATAAATCAATTCACATGTACTTTTTTATCGTGAGCTTTTTTGCTCTCCGGTACCTGGCATAACTTGAAAGGAGGTTCTTTTTAAATGAGGTACTAAAAGCAAAAGGTACAGGCAGAGTTGGTACAAGGGCTGTCATTTTTTTATTTGTAATTGAAACATTTGTTTGTGTGTGTGTGGTTATATTCAAACCGTAATGTTTGAATTCAAGTGCGACAGACAGTTTGAAGTAGTTTGCCTTGTAATCCATCAGAAGGCGCTCTAAAACTTCAGTATCAACTTGACCCATGGCATGCCCTGTTGACCCCTCGAGAATGATGTTATGTTGTTTTAGTACAATATCAAGCAAAGCCATCCTGAGACAGTCATGACAACAAAGCATCTGAGAAGCAGTGTGTGGAAGTATTTTGGGTTCTAGGCCATTGATGGCAAAGTAACTAACAAAGAGAAGGTTGTTTGTTGACTTTGTCAAAGTATCTGTCTTGCACTACAACCACAACAAATCTGTGGACTCGCCTGCTAGCTTGCCACCCAAGTTAGAAAGCGGAGGCACCTCAGACTATAAACTCGTCTGACTGCCAAGTATTTGGCACAGTCGCCTTCAGCAGGCCTCTTAGCACAAACTTGTAGAATGCTGTCAATTAATTTGAGCGAATTCCGTGTCTTGTCAAATTTATTTGAACTTGATGATTTTTTACAAACAGTGACAGTCCTAGTTGGTACCCTTACCAACTCCTCATTGAAAGAAGGTTCATTGAGACAAAGCTCCGTTATTCCTGAAAAACCCTTTCGTCGTGCATGTGGAAGTGCCTTTGGTTTTCCGTAGAATGAAAGAAGCTGTGAAACGATCTGCTAAAATGGCCTGGACACAATGCCTGGTACTTCCTAAGTGGTGATAAATAAGTGGATTGTGGTGATATTACAAGCAGACTATTGTCCTCAATTAATATCACAGGTGTCTTTTAATCTTATAATTAGCCATTCACCGTATTTAAATGGAGAAAAGTCTTCATTGTGCTGTATCATTGTGCGCACCACACTGAACATGGACAGGAGAAAGAAAAGAAGAGTTGTCTGAGGAGATGAGGAAGAAAATGTTTGACCAATATCGGGGCCGTAGTGAACCTCCCGGGATGTGGCCACTAGAGGAAGATTACTCACAGGTTGAACAGAGGGATTAACCTGATGTGCCAGATGGTTTGTTACACAGAATTGTCTGAGAAGGCTTTGTTGTAAAATGTAGGCGCTTCCAAAAATGATTTGGCAGGTGATAGATGAACCATCTGTCTATCATATGATGTAGGAAGAGAAGGCCAAAGAGGAAGCACAACGCAACAACAAACCGCAGTCTGAGGAGATTTGAAAGCTAGTTAGCCTGTCGGTAGACAATTCTTGCCATCGTTTGTAAGGAAAATCTGCACATAAATTCATAAACTCTTACTAGTACCACAACTGCTGCTTCCCTGCAGTTGCCATAGTTCCTTGCTCATAGGACAGTGATTAGCTTCGAGCCTGGGGTGACATGCAGAGGTTGCAGAGATTTTGCCATCTCCTAATGGCTATTTCCAGCACGATAATGCACCATGTTACAAAACAAAAGTCATCTCAAACTGCCTCCATGAGCCTGACAATGAGTGCAGTGTACTTCAGCGACCTCCCCAGTCACCAGATCTGAATCCAATAGAACACTTTAGGATGTGGTAGAACAGGAGATTGGCAGCATGAATGTGCAGCTGAAAAAACTGCAGAAATTATGTGACGCAGTCCTGTCAGCATGGACCTGAATTCCATAGCAATGTGGAGTCCATGCCATGAAAAATTGATTTACTTACTTAGTAATACTTGGTAATTTAATTAATTAATAATTACTAATTAAAGTGAAGCATCATCCAAAAGCCAGAGCAGCTATCTTTGGATGTGGGGCAGAAAATAGTCATCATTTTCAGGAGGAATTACTATATAGTGGGAGTAGGTAATAATTATTATGTAACAATTGTACAAGAGGTTTACTGTACAACAACTCAAGCATCTTCCCACAAATCTCACTGACAAGGTTCCTGTTACTGTGTGACAAGAGTGTCCAGATAGCTGAGTGAGGATTGGGGAAGGATTTGACTCGCCCTGTTTGACACATTTGTCAAAGCCAATATTTGTTTACTATCCTGTACAGTGGGAAAAAACTGTTAACCTCTGTTTGATATTTTGTTGAGCTCTCAAGTGTCAGTTTGCTTAGGGCTTTGGTGAGAATTAAAAATGTAGTCACTGTGACATTCCACCTATGGGAACGGTTAACACTAATATGCTGGCAGAGCGCTGTGGAGCACAAACTACAGAGATATTTTTGTTAACAGTTGTAGTTCCTTACTGCCTGTCCATATTCTATTTAGTGTATCGCTTTCTGGCCTATGAGCCATCAGTTCTCATTCATTCATTTTACTGAGCTATTATCCACCATCATCTGTTAGAAGCTGTGATGTTGAGCTTTTTTCATATAAGTTTGTTTTTAATCATTCAGGTTTGAAAATGAATTGATTTAGTGTAAGTAATAATTATTGATGCTGTTATTGCCTAATTACTTAAACCAGCTATAATTGGTATTTTCATAATAATGTATCAAATGAAAATGTGACAGAGAATTATTGTTAATCATTGTTTAGCTGTCCGACCTGCAACTTAACGGTTTCAGTTAATTCTTACTGCTCTGTCATTTTTAGCTATAGCAGACAGCTGTTTTCAGTGAAGAACTTCTTATTTTTATTTTTTTTATTTTTTTTGCTGCCATCAAGTGGCAAAAAAAGGTCTGTCATTGGAGGTTTAAGTTAATGTTGGGTTGACCACAAATTTAGCAGGTAGACTGATTACTGTGTAATGAATACCTCATTGTGTTCATGTCTTCAGTCAAAATACAACCATCAGAAATACTCCTATATTTCTACACTCATTCAAAGCTTTCTAGTGATCCCAGCACATGAATGCAGCTGGTATTCTGTCTCAGTGGCTCAGATTGCAGTAGGTGATTATGAATACTTCCTTAAAGTTAAAAACTCTGGTAAACCTGAGATTATCCTTCTATGAGAACGCATTCTTTCTCAGCAGTATCTGACCTCAAGGCTCATAAGTATGTTACGTGTAGTGTACAAAGAGCATGACACTGTGTGAGTGTTGTGTTGTCTCTGTTGGCTGATTGCACAAATTCCATTCAATAACTCAATATGTGTATGTGAGGGGTGCTGTTTAAATGGGGTGGCTTACTTGTTACCAGTGATTTGGCATACAATTGGTCGAACTGAGATTGAATTGACTAGTAAACTGCCTTCCCATAGTCGTGTCACACTTGTACACAAGTTTATCACGTTGCCTGTGGCTTTGCTTGCCTGTGTTAGTGAAGCCAGTGAATAGCCTGACTACCAGTATCAAGCACAGACACGATCTATTTATCAGAAATGAGGAAGTTGCTTGCTGGGACCTGCTCAGACTTGTCCCGCAACATGTGACGGCTTGTTTCTGAAGGCTTCACTTTATTGATGCCAAAACTGTTGTCATGACCTCAGCTTACTTGTTTTCTGTGGCTTCAAACCAAGCACTTGGTTGTTACATATGTAAGTTAGTGCTACTGGCACTTGTCGAGTGTTAAGCTTTACAGTCTCACATAGGCCTTAAAATGCCTTTTGTACTGAGGTTCCAAATCCTCTTTGTTTGACCTTGTGATTTAGATTCTTTTGTTTTCATTTTCACTTGGCTTTGTACTATTTATATATTATTTAAAAAAAAAAAAAAAAAGAAAAATGCTGAAATTCCTCATACCGATCAAGTCACATCTCATTGCTGACATTTAGTTGATCTGTTTTTCATGGCATCTATATTTAAAAATGTCAACAGAATAATGTATATTGAAATCCTCAGATAACTCGAAGCAGCCCTGGGCTAATTGCTAGATAAATCAAAAATGACCTTATCTAGTGAAGTGCTTATTTGTTCTGCCTCATCTTAAAAAAGACAAACTCTTTCTCTAACTTCTTAACTTAAATATTATAGTGACCGGATTTTATTCTTTCATAAACAACATACACATAGCACCTTTTGTCAAAATATCCTCAAAACAAAGACAGGACTGAAGGAGAACTGAATAATGTCCTTTTTTACAAACTACAGTCAAAGGAAATAAAGTCTGAATAATGCTGTGATTTCCCAAAGCTTGTAGGTATTTCACATAACAAGCTGTACCTACTTGATGAGATAGAGTGGATGTTGGAGGATTTGCAGTGCGTATCTAATGTGTAGGTGTCCGTAGCACATGCTTTTTACATTTTAGGAATAATTTTAAATATTTGTATATAAGTGTAGGCTGTGGGAGCCATTCTTTACAACTGTGATTCTGAAATGACACTGCTAATGAAATGCCAGGCCACGATAATTTGCCCTATATAGCATGAACAAGCATTGTACTCAACTCTTGGTTTATCCCCCACATTAGTGTTATTGATTTTTCAGCAGGGTGGAGCTGCAGCTTGCTGAAAATAGTGAAGTACTTTAGTCAAACAGTGCCAGGGTTATGAGTAAGAGATAGGGTTGGGCAACAATTTAACAGATTACTGTCGATGGTGAGATGCATATTTTGGATGTCTGAGATAATTGTTATGACTTGCTAATCTCAGGGAAAATATAAGCAATACAAAGTTGCCATGAATCAGCACTACTAAGAAATCTATTTTTTTGATTACCCTATTTTATAATGACCTACAGTATATACCTTGATACAACTGTACCCTCATAGAATTCAGTGTTTACAAATTAAGCTGCAGGCTGGCACAGAAACTGCGATATTCTCAGGTCAGTGGGCTAAGTGAGTCAGTCTCTTGTGTACTCCTGAGCTGCCTCAATAAAGAGATGGGGGGAGGCAGACTGGCGCTGTGCCTGGTGGAACCCCACTGACTCAGCAGAGCTGGAAACTGGAGGAAAGTTGTCGGCATGAAGATGGAGAGCAGGGTGCTGCCATTCTCTAAATGCTTTTATAGTCCTGGATAGCTGTGAAAGGACTATTCATAACATTTTAAATAGGTTGATAATAGCCACTGTGGTAAATCTAGTTATCACTAACACTGGCTGTTTAGAAATTATGATTATGATACAGAATAGAGAATACTATGACTTTGCTGCTTGGTTCATGATATCATTAGTGTTCATGTTGACTATATTTCCAATAATTTTTAAATTTAAAAATTAATTTTAAATTTAATTTTAAAATAATTTGTTTAAGTGTTTGTTAAACCTTTCTACTCATTTAGCGTTTTTAGATGTTGATGCCTATTTTCTTTTCTTTTCGTTTTTTCAACTTCCATTACAAAGCAAATGAAACTAAATCATTACTTTATATGGATTTGGGTAATTTGCAACAACTGAACCCAAGAGCATATGTAGTTTGCCTGGGTTGCCTTGACACTAACTTTTTGGTACTTCCTGTTTGCCTCTTTTTGCCAGGACTACCAAGAGAGCTCAGACGCTGTATGACGGACAGGCCTCCAGTCCTCCAGGAGTGTGTCACATCCCCATGGCTGAGCCTTTCTGCAACAGGACCAGAGAGGTGAGTCCATGAATACCTGTACGTGTATCCCATTTCATAGATGTCACTTCCTGAACTGCCTGAACTTAGGTTTGTTTATTCTAAAAATAAACTTTTTTATCTATCTCATTTTTTTTCTTATTACCCAAAAAAACATTAAAATGGTGTATTTAACAGGAAAAAAGTTTAAATTACAAATGGTAGTTAAGTTACTAAGAAATACATACAACATTTTATGGCAAAAGTATGTATCATTTGGGTTTAATTGTGTCAAAAATGGTATACAATGAGACATTCATGAGATGTAGTTACAGTTCTTGAACTTGAAGTATTGTTTTAGATTTAGGTAATTCTGTCTTTAAACCAATCAAAATGTGATAACAGGATAAAAAGGATAAAGGATAAACAGGATTAATTTCATGTTTTTAAACTTTGAAACGCTTAGCCATTTATAAATAAAATGTATAAACAGGTTAAATATTTTATGTCATATAAAACAGATTTATTAATATTCTTTTGGCTTGTTTTTTCTGACTATTTTATTATTACCATGATGATTATCATGTACATTTTTTTACTACCATAGTATTGCAAAGTATTTTTAAATCTTAATTATAAAAATGAAATAAAATTGTACCAACTGTGAGATTGCTATTGACCTGCAGTTTCTTTCAACTTCCAGTTTGTTTATGTTAAACAGTATTTGTTAGTCATAAAAAGTCCACAAAAACCATCTTGTGTTAAGGGCAGTCCTGTTTCTAGAATAAATACTTGCTTATCTGAAAACGGCCTACAGAACAGCAGATACCACATGGCATAGCAGGTGGTGATTTATTGCTTCAACACCACAGTCTAGAAAATGAGTTAAATAGCTATCGAAACCATGTTAACAGTCTCCCTTTCATTAGCTTAATGGGGACAGTTATTAGCTCTTCCATCATGGTGCAGGTTTTGGTGGAGGTGGCGCGGAGCCTGGGCGTCAAGTGCCACGTGCGTGGGACTATGCTGACTATCGAGGGGCCCCGCTTTTCCTCGCGGGCAGAGAGCCTGATGTTCCGCCAGTGGGGAGCTGACGTCATCAATATGACCACCGTGCCAGAGGTGGTCCTCGCCAAGGAGGCTGGCTTGTGCTATGCCAGCATTGCCATGGCAACAGACTACGATTGTTGGAAGGAACATGAGGAGGCGGTGAGTGGCAGGCTGGAGGTCCTAACAGCCAGTTTTGGTACTACAGCGTTTCTAGTGGTTTGATGCATTTTGTGTGAGTCACTGTTGGCCATGGGTGATGCACAGTTGGGTGACATTACATTCTTCCTGATCTTTGTTTGTTTTAGTGTACAACAACCACTATCAAATTTTTGATTAATTTTTTACGAATTATCATCATACTGTATTTACATCTTTCTTTTTTACCTTAAGCTTACCATCTCTGGATAACTTCTAGGTAAAAGCTATTGGCAGGGTACCAGGATGCTAATAATGTTAACTAAACATGGCCTTTATTATTTATCAGCTGTATATGTCATCTTAAGGCAGGTCATTTGGTTTTCTACTTTATCTTTAATAAGTGATCACCCAACTTTCCAGATGGAGTACTGCAAACTGATTCCAAACCTCTGAATCACTGCCCACATCTTTGTTTTTTCTCAGTTTAAACTTCAGTTAAAACTGAGCCAATGACAATTTCGTGGGCAGAATTAAGAATGGGGGCATGATCCTTCTGTACTGGAGCCAGAAAAATTGCGACAGAAAAATGAACAAAGTACTGGTGACTTCTCCAAAGTACCATAAGGGATAATGGATAATAGATCCAGATTTATTTACCCCATTCTCTCTACATGCACAGCTGATTTTCTAAACTGTTTGGTATGAAGTGGACTGGCCGCAGATTTACAGTGATTACCAACCGAGGGTTCAGGAACCCTTCAGGCCCTCAAGGACATAACCTGACTACAAAAATAAATTCCTTCAGATAAACTTGTGCTGTGTCATTAAAATGCACAGGTGTGGATTACTTGTGCCAAGCTGCGCAATAAAACAATTATTGCACAATTTAATGCTGTCCTCCCATGTCAGCTTTGAGCTAGTAAAGGTTATGATATGATTGCAACACAGCACATCTAGGTAATAAGCACAGGTTTCATAGATAAGAATGATGCCAGCCAGATAGTCATGGCTACAAAACATATAGCAGACTCAAAGTCTATTTACTATGAGCAAAACAAAACTTAGACATTTTCTTTGGTTCCTGTATTAGGGCTCATTATTTTATTTTTTATTTTTCTGAAAACAAACAAAAAAATAATCAATCTGGTATTTTATTGTTTTTGAATATAAAAAAATGTCTTGAGGTATTTATTTTACCTGCTTAGAGGGACTCCAGTGCTTTGATGCATACAGTAATAAGTAGGTTGTTTAGAAACTGCAGTGATCAGCTCAGTTTTTTCCACAGAACATGCTAGTATTTGATAACTTTAATTTTATTGATTTATATTAAGGTACCTATTGTCTTTATGTGGTGATTTGTATATTGTTCCAGAATATTTAACAAAAAAAACATAAATTTTTGTTCAAAATAACAAAAATAAACTTGTCCTGTACAAAGTTGAACTCTTTGCCTTCCCCTTTGCAGCTGATTGGCAGAGGACTGTTGAACTGTAGGTGGGAACGAAAGAGCATTTATAATTGTAAAGAGTTTCAATTACTTGAAATACAATGTTGAACTTTCTGCATTATTTAAAGATACACATCACTAAAACTTCTTAATATTATAAAGAACAGAGTGTTTCTAGATCACATATTGTTTACTTCTATTAGTCTGATAGAATTCCCACAGAGGTTTTTGCCATTTGTGCTACATAATACAGACTACAGTGTCTGTGGCTTCTTATGGCTTCTGAGTGACCTACTCTCTGTCAGACACTCTGGATATTGCAGTTGATATTTACTGTGTGTGGGCGAGTTTTGGCTTATTTGTCACTGATCCAGCCCAACTCACAACTCCACTTCCGAGTTCCTGCAGCTGACCTCTTCCCCCTCCTGTTGCAGAACGCTCGCCACATCCTTCCGCCCCCCCCTCTCTGTTCACTGCCCAGCCTCATAACACCCTGGCACGACGCCCCTCGCTTAACCCCCCCCCCCCCCCCCAAAGGGAGCTTGCCTGCCAGCCTCCGGTGGAAGCCCTGCCAGAGGAGGCTGACTCACACTGAGTCATCAGCTTCACTGTCTTCTTCCAGGCAAACACCACAAAAACATGAACCAAGTCACTGAGTGTGACATGAAAACAAAGCAAGGGAAAGCAAAGGGAAGGGTTAATGAAGGATACAGGCGATAAACCTGAGCACAGGACGGAAACAATGTTGTAACTTACTGTAATGTGCACTGTACGTCTGGCTGAGTAATTATATAAGAATTATTTGCAAGATGTTATCACATAACTTCATGCTGCACACATGAATATTCCTGACTGACTGTACAAGGCCTCAGTTTCTGCATGTGACTAAAGCAGACGAATAAGCATGCGCGTCTTGATTTTTATTTCCCCATTCTTAGTGGTAGTGGTAGAGGTGCTAGTCATGTGAATAATGTGATGATTGTCAGTATCATGGACATAGCTGGTGAAATGGCTGAAGACTAATGAGTCACTGGTGTACAGCTGGATTTGAGAAAAATAATAATCTGCTCTTCACATCTGCACTATGTTGTTAAATTTGTGTGGCTTACTGACAGATCCTGTGGTGACAGTGATTTGAATGAACTCTTTGGCTTCCACCTGTATGATTAAACCTTAGTGTCCAAGTTTAAGATGTTACTTAACTTGACGTGTTGGATGTGCATTGCAGTGTGTTTGTGTTATCTTGAGTAGAAATTCAAGGTGGACTGATGATTCAATATTATAATGAATCAATGTTTAGTGAAGTTTTAAGTGATGATATGATGTATCATCATTTTTACAAATTTCTGTTGTTCACTAGTCAAAGTTTTATCCCTTTCAGGAAACCCCCATGTAATCTCCATTTAGATAATAATTATGTTCTATATATATATAATCAGCAAACCCCATGAAAAGATCAAAAACAGCAATAGCTTGAGCTTATTAATAAGTGTTTCCTTATATGTATTTGGGTGTAGCCAAATATAAAAAGACCTCCATTGTGGTCCAGTTTATTAAAAACACATGAATGAGCCACACCATTTGACTAGGTGACATGTTCTTTGATTATGATGATGATGATGGTTCCTGCTGCAAATACTCAATGTGTATTGATCCACTGTGGAAAAAAGTCCCCGAACAAATAAATGCTGTTTGTCATATGGGTACTGTAGCGTTTAGTAGCTGAATTAAGGTAATTATTAAGGTATTATTTTTAAAAACTAAAGGTACGTATTAACCCATTTCAAAGATTTAAGTCTTGAGTACACAGTGGTCTTGTGGCCACTGACCAACTTAGGAATTAAAAAAGTATTGACAAATTTAGCACATCGTTGGTTTTTGTTGATCACAACAAATATATAGTATAGAATATAACCATCTTTATCCTTGAAAGTAATCAAAAGCAATATATGTAGAAAATGGTATAAACACATCCGATAATGTAATCACAGCAGCAGCTCTGATTTCAAAGGATGTTGCTGCCAGAAATGCCCATTGAGATCTTTTGATTCCATTCAATATTTTTCACAGTGCAAACATTCTCCTTAGCACAAATGAGGAAGGCTACATGTCTCAATACATTATTGGGACATAAAAAGTGACTTTGACTCAAGCAAGTGATATTTGCATTGTTGTAAGTGATTCTTATCACAGGGCAGTTGTTTTTCTTCTTCTGTCGTAGGTCTGTGTTGACAATGTAATGAAGACGATGAAGGAGAACGCCAACAAAGCCAGCAGTATTCTGCTGACTGCAATACCCCAGATTAGTCAGATGGATTGGGCTCAGACGATGAAGACCTTGAAAGTAAGTTGTCAGCTTTATGATAAATCATTTCCACTCAGCAAGTCTTTTGGAGAAGTTGAGAAGGAGGGCCTGTTTACCCTCTATTTGCCTATCCTGAACTGGTATCTCCTTTTATAATGTCTTCCATTTCAATGCACCACCTCTTAAACTTTGTTTCACAAATGAGTAATCAAACCATCTGGAGCGTGACCACTTTCAAAACACTATGTGTTTGTGAAGGTGATTATAACCATGAGGTCTAAAAGCCTGACGTAAACAATGACAGTTACCTCCATCTGTGAGGCTAGCTCAGGCACTCTCATTATGTTGCTTTGCAACTTCACCACCATAAAACATACAGTAATGCATATTACTGTCTTAACTCTGGATACTTGGTAATAAATATATTACATACACAATAATCAACATGTATTCATTGCACATTTGAAAAATGCTCAAAGATGTGAAACCACATGACTAATGTAGTGAGTGTTTTTACACTGGGTGCAGCCTTTAAATACATTTGCAACAATAGTTTTGATCATGCTTGAAGTACTTTTTGCAGTAAGGTAAGTAGTGCAATTTCTATTCAGACCTTATCTTTGTTTATTGGAAACACTTAAACTTTGGAAAAAGTGTAGCATTAAATCTCCGTAATATTTTATGTGTTGTACTATAATTTTGGTAATGATGACAGACACATCAGGTGTGATTCAACTTAAAACAAAGTTTATAATTATGTCCTTTTGCTTTTTTCTTATACTTTCAAAGAAAATTAACTGAACTCCTGGAAACTTTTGGCCTCAGTACCCTGAAACAAACAAAGCTAGACAAATTTCACATGAGCTAAACCTAGTCATTGTCGCTGTATATATCTGAGACGTAAATACGGGGAAAAAACGGTTTTGTTCCTTCTGTTACAGTCAATGGCACAATCTTCAGTAATGTTACCAAAACACTAAGGGTGTAGAAAACAATAAAGTAGAAAAGGATACGGATTCCAGACACCACCCGCACCGACTCCGACACGGACAACAGACTCAACTCTGCCTGTGGATTTGTCATCAGTGAATCACAAGAAAGTGCCTCACATAAATAATGCATGTGCTGTGTCTTCAGCTGAAGTTTCAGTGTTTTTTCTTGACTCAGAATACTCATAGAAAACTCCCCTCTTTGTAGTGATGAACACGTCACCCCTTTTCTCTGGAAAACGTACAATCCGGTCACATGTTTATGTACAAAACATTTCAAAAGATTAACAATAGATTTTAAATCTTCTTACAATTATACTTGATATTTTTTGTGGATTTATATTTTTTGTGGTCTGTAAACGTTTCAAATTCATATATTTGTTGCCAGTAAACCATCGGTGTCTTTATTGCTGTTTATGCAAGATATAATAAAAATGCTTTGCAAGTTTAGCACATGAATAGTTTGTTACTGCCTTAGTCATTACTAATATTATACTTTTAAAGGTTGAATATGATGTCTTGAACCTATTCACTACTTGAGTGATTACTTCAGTGATAACTTGCATACACTTCGGCAAAATGTAGTCGGGATACAAATCATGTTTCTATCTTTGCTTATCCGTGCATATTTTTATATTCAGTGAAATACTTCAGTTTTATTTGTTCTTCATGACTATTTTATGTGCTTCATGAGTCAAAACTGAACAGCATTGCATTTGTATATCATCTGCATGGCACGTGCTAACCTTTCCAGCTATCACTAGATCAGTCTTTGGAATACTTCTGAAAAATATATACTGACTGCATTTACTGACACAGGTGAGTCCACATTTAGGCACACCTAAAATGTTTGATATACTGTAAGCTTCATTATCATCATATTAAGAAATAAGCATTTTTGTAGGAGTGCTGGGCCCTCTAGCACCACTCATGTTAGATGACTGTCATTTTTTTTTTCTTCTCTGCATTTACTATAACTGAAACTCAACACTGCACAGTGGAAATATTTAGTCTGGTATTTTCTGTTTGTTGCCTTGTCTCAACATTATGAACATATTATGCAGCATAAATTGAATAAATGAGAGTACAGAGATTTGGCTATTCAAAGACCTGAGATCATGTTCTGAAATTGTTGGTGAACATGTTAAAATCCCAAAGCAATTTAAACTGATTACAAGTGTCTCTCCATTAGCAATTTATTTCTCACATACAATATGTTAAGTGAAATGCAGGGTGGCATGCTCTTGAGCCTGTGCAAAAAAGTGTGTAATAAAGAATAAGAGTTAAAAATAAGAATTAGGAAAAAAAGTTATGTCAAAAATAATGTAATGGTGTACACAGGATGTATCCACCAGAATAGCCAGTTCAGATTGAGCATGAATGTTTTCTGGAAATAATATTTTCCATTGATTTCATTATATAAACAGCCTCCTGTTTGACATATGATGGACTGACTTTGACTGATTTTACTGTTGTTACAAAAACGATTTGCCGTGTTAAACTATCAGGCCTGACCCAGACAGGAAGTCAAACTCCACCACAACAGACAGAACAGCACTGTTAATGGCCTTCATGGCTTTTGGGGGTTTTGTGTCTTGTCAAATCTCGTGTTGGCTGCATAAAGCCATAAAGATGGCTAATCTAAGCTAATGTTTAACTCCAGAAAAAGGTAGCTACAAACCGTAGCTTATTTCATGAATTATGTGCAAAATCATTTTTTTCTGTACCATATTCTTACTATACTCCAAGGTAATCATGCATTAGACATTAACTCCTAATAGCAACCCATCCTTTGTGCAATTGTAACCTGACATCCTTTGTGTAGAAAGGTACTTTTTATACTTAATTATGTTAAAATCCAGTTGTTCATCTCTGTACCTTACAGAAAAGTCAACAAACTTCTGTCGAATAAATTCTATGCAGTAAAATGTTAAAAATGTGTAGAAGCATGTTTTATCGCCACATGAATTGAAAATCGCCTCAAACTTCTCAGTGAAAATAAATGAATAAATAAATAAATGATTGCATCAGCCTTGATCTGATTGGTGTGTTTAACAATGAAGTCACCTGATGCCAGCTTCAGTTTAACAGGATAAGGAGCCTTCAGCCGATATCTATTAAGCAGTGTAAGGGGAAAGCATTTGTTCTGTATCTGATCATGTATGTAAATATTTCTAAAATTCTGGTCAGCAAAAGCAAATCAAAGGAGAAGCCATCTAACCAACAAAAGTTAGAAATTTCACACAGTTTAACTCCCAACTGAATTCAAATACAAACTGAAATAATCATAGCTGGATTCTTTCTTTCTCTTTTTTTTTTTTTTTAATTTTCTGGTACCTAAACCAGTCATTCCCACATTATGTGAAGCATAGCCAGATGACTTTTTTCTTCTAATCTACCTCCTTCCTTAAAAGACTTAGAATAAATCTTAAGAGGTGACATTTTATTAAAGTGCATAATATCCAAGATCTGGTTATAATTTTTACAAACAGGAAAAGGGACTTCATTGTCTCTGCAGCGTAGCATGCTTCATGCTTACAGAATAGTTCATCAGTAAGACACTAATGTTCAAACGTGCAAAACATTTTCAATGTCTTTTGGTTAAATATTTGACATGGAAAGCTCTACTTAAATTTCGGTAACCACATTAGATTTATGACAAAAACGAACCACAATCCTTTAAAAATACAATACTGTAAAAACACTAGCCTACACTGATGGTTTTCTTATTGGTTTATGGGAAATTTTGAACAATGCAACGGAAGTTAAAAGTGAAATAAAATGTGTTAACGTCGCTGTAAACCACGGAGCTGAATACCCTGAATAGCATTTAGACCGTTATAACAATATTGTACTTATCTCACGTTGTTTGTCATATCAGCGACCCCGTGCCAATAGATAACCCTGATTTCGTTAAAAAATAAAATAATTATGTCTTTTCAGCTAAAAACAAACAAATAAATAAAGATGTATTTTGCAGCAGAGCAGTCGGTGTGTAATTTAGGCTGCAGGCCTCTTCAGGCCCCATTTCTCTGAGCTCTACGTCCCCATTCAGAGCAAGTGGCAGGAAATAAGAATCTCACAGCATCATAGAGGGTTTTAGAGAGACTCCAGGAAAGCGACCACATCTTCATGGCCGTTCGCTCGGGCTAAATCAATAGGCCGACAGTTTGTATTGTCCCTCGCCTGCGGGTCAGCCAGGTATTCCACCAAGAGCCGCACAGTGTCCACAAAGCCCGTCCTGGCCGCGTCATGCAGCGGGGTGGTCCCGGTGCTTGTGTCCGCCACGTTGGGATCCGCTCCGTACTTCAGTAACACCTTAGCCACCGGTGTGCTCCCCATCATCATCACCTTCATAAAAATATAACTGTGTGTTAGAGATCCAACTCTGATTCATTTGATTTTCATACACCTATAAAACATAAAGAACAAAGGCACAAATGTCTCAGGAGAGCATAAAGACCAGATCATGGATATTTGACTTGCAATAAAATAAAACACACTCACCCAATAATTATTTTTACTCTGTTTTCACGCATTTATTATTTATTATCAGTGGCTATTTGTGGTTTTTGCGTAAATGTGGTAAATCACATTATTAAGACCTCCCATTTAGAACAACTGTGAACTTATGCTCCGGATAAAAGGCTTGTAAAGTGATTTAAAAAGGCACAGAACAAGGTTAAAATATTGTCCCACATGAACTACAATTTACTTAATCTGAACCAATATGTTTGAGTGGAAATGTGGAAATGTGGGAATGAGGATGCAATGCGAAAATTAGGACCAGCATCACACAGTTCGACGACTAGTATGACTTGCGCAGCAGGCTTTTAAAGGCTCGTTACAACTTTAGTTTCGTTTTCTTTAATCTTCAAGAGACATTATATTTTATCAAACTGACTTGAAAGGAAAGGAGAGTTGTGGGTTTCCTCAGTACAGTACAAGCGTGATCACCACAAGACACAGGCGCTTCGTCTATATTTTGAGATGCCGCAGCCTTTAAAAAAAAGTAAAACAGTTAGGCTTTGGTTTAGGATGATATAAGTCGGAAGAAGGTGTTCATTTATTGCTGTAATAGCCCATTTTAGAGAGAAAGAACAGGATTAGTCTCATGGATGAGTGCTTTTTTGTGTGTGTGAATTGTGAGTCAGTTACGAAGAAATGAAAGCATTGTTATGATAAGAATATTTTCTATTTTTAACGTGAACATAATACTCCTGAGCTGGTCCTCACCTATAGTTACAGCATTTAGATGTACCTATCGTTTATGGCCTTAAAATTAAAAACAATACAGAGTGAAAATGAATAGTAATCCAAAGTCGCAACATTCAATGTCAATTTAAATTGTTGAGAAATGTAAAGGTTCCATTAAAAACGTGTAGTTTTGATTAATTTAGATTGATGAGAAATTTGAACGCATTAACTCTAGAGGAAAAAAGTTTTTATTCGAAAGATATGAGGCCGAAGTTTGGTCGTTACAGTTTACAAGAACTCGCGCGTCATTTCTGAGATGCGTTGCCTTTTCAAAAGAAAAAAAAAATAGTTAAAACAAAAAAAAAAAAAAAAAAAAATATATATATATATATATGTATCTAAACTCGCCTGGTTGAAAATTCCTTCCCTGGCGACACTACTGGTTGTCATTTGAAGAGGTTAATGTTCATGAAACACGCTGAAGTGTAAGGTAAAAGGTGCTGTTATGAAGCTGAGGAAGTGCTCGTCTGGTGACACTGACCTGTAGAGCGGTTCGTCCAAAACAGTTCACCCCGTTAACTTGTGCTCCTTCCTGCAGAAGATACTCCACATCTGCCGTGTTTCCCTTCGCTGCGGCTGTTGCCAGCTCATCCACGAGAGTCATTGTTGTCTCCAGAAATCTGCAGCGATAACCTCCGTGACAGATAATGCTTTGACAGGTAGCTTGGTGTCTTGATGCTTATTGGAGGAAAAGGAACTGCTAAAAATAAAAATAAAAAATAAAAAAATAAAAAAAACACGCCACAGAACGCGTGTTGAATAATCACGGCTCGGTGTTGTTGTGTGGCGGGTTGGTCCTCAACCGTGCCGGTCAGTTTGTCCGAGCCTCCAGTCGTCTCGGTAGATTCAGTGAGAGGCGCATTGCCAGCCGTTCGGTCGGTGTGTGTCTGGGCTTGCCTGTGTTTTGAATGGGTGACGTCATCGTCTGTTGCTGCAGTGGCGCGATCGTGCGCATGCGCTGCTGCAACTGGTGTTTGACAGCAGAGGCACCACATTTTGTTTCACCTACTGCGCCTACCCCTGAAGGGTATGTGTCTCCGCAGAGCTGCGAGATGACAAAATCACAACTATATCAAAGTGTTTTTGGTGTTTAGTAATTTAACATAAAAACGCGACTGCCAGTGAAGGAAATTAACAAGGTAGGCTACAACTATAGTAGGCTATAACTTATTAAAGTACAATTTTGAGATACA